CCTCCTACAATGCCCTTAGCTAAGCATCTCTGATGCTTAAAGCCAACCTTACTGCAGGGTTTAAAACACATGGCAGATGTCTGTAGTGGCAGCACAGAACTTGGCATGTTTTGCTTGTTAGTGGACTAAGAAAAGCAATTCTATGTAAATAGATAAAAAGGAAATTTGTTGGACCTGGTTCTTGTTGAGGCAGGGTCAGGGCATGAACCCATGTGAAAACTGGCTCTGTCAGGATTTATTTCCTCCTCTCTGATTAAGTAATGAAGACAGGGGGGGAGTTCATCAGGCAAATTTCTCTGTCATGTATGTTGTGAGTGCAGTGTGTGGGCCTTTATTCCTGCTGCTGTCAAGGGTTACTCTCTGCCTGTGGGGCAGAGCCTGTTCCAGAGAGCAGTGCCTGCAAATGGCTCTTGCCTGCTCTTCCAGGGAAGAGTGCAGAGCAACTTTCCGCTTGCCATTGCTACATCTGTAGTATCTATCTTTTCCTTCTGCATGTTTCTACTTGGACCTCTCAGGCCCTGGTGTTTCTGTGCACATCACAAGTTGCTGTTTATTAGTATTTAAACAGCCTTTGGTCTATGTAACTGCAGAAAGCCTGAAAGGCTCTTCCGCAGCTTTTAAAGAGCACATGGTAAATCAGGCGGTGGCAGCAGTGATTTTTAAACCCTATTTTTGCTCGTTTCCTACACTCTCGGGACTTCTCCGGTGCAGCAGCGAGGGATCTGCCACCTATGCAGGCGTCATGCCAGCCTCCCCAAGGGCACAGCCTCCCCGCGCCGCTCCCAGCCGCAACACGCTGTCCCCCGGCTCCGCGTCTCGCTGCCGGCAGCCCATGATGCTCAGCCTCCGAGCGACCGCAGCAGCCCAACGTGTTGGGATATGCCCTGTGCCGCCTCCCCTGTCGAAAAGTCTTCCTGTGCTGTTACGCTGCCCTGTTTAATCAGAACTCACTTTGGGTTGTGAATCTCTCCCTGGCTCAGGGCGGCGATAGGAGGGATGGTGTTTGGCGTTTTGCCACAGCTGCGGGGTTAAAGCACGGAGAAGGGAGGGAGCAGAGCAGTGTCGTGCATGATCCATCCCTCTGCAATTCCAAACTGGTGTTGCAAAAGCAGTCAGAGTCTTCATGCAGGGACCCGGGTGCACGTGCAGGGAGTTTTGGCGAAGTGCCGCTGAAATCTTAGCTCAGACTAAGGATTGGCCCTAGGACTTGTGTGTAAAGAAGCCCAACTCCCTCTTCTTCATTACTTCTATGGGTCTCCTGCAAAGAGACAGATCAAAATTAGTGCTGTTTGAAGAAAGTCCTCCCTGTTTCAGAAGGGGAGGGAAGGGGAAAGGCTTCCCAAGGTGCTGGGATGATGGGATCTGATCAGCAGCAGGGCTCAGGGGCAGCTGGGGAGATAACACAGGTTTGCACCCAGCAGCAGAGCACTGCAGCACCTCAAGGCTTTGCCTCTGTTGTTGGGGACACCTGCGAACCAGTCTGCATCTTGTGCCACTCAGCAGGGTTTAAAGGAGCATGGAGGAGAGCAGGTATCCCCCTCCTTACGCTTCTCCGTGAGACCATGTAGAGCAGCTCCCACTTGCCTTGTTTTTCTGGCACCCCTGTTGTGCTTGAGAGGAGGCAGGAATGAAAGGGCTGAGGTTTGCCTGCGGGCCTCTTTGCAATCACCCAGCAATTCTCTCCCCTTGCCACCACCACCGTTTGAGCGTGTTTGAACCGCAGGCTTGTCGAGTCCTCCCGAGGCCTGTAGAAACACAGCACTGCAGCACCTAGTGCTAAGTAGCAGGTAAATAAAGCTACCGGGTGCTGGGAACAAACTGTTGCGCAGACAGGTAATGCATCAGAGCCTGCGCTATTCCCCGGCGGCGGAGGCTGGGATGGAGGAGCAAGGAATGGGGATGGTGTGAGGCACCTTCCCTGTTGCTGGGGCTCCTGCACAGGGAGCTGGCACCAGCGGGCGCTGGCTGAAACCCAGACTGTGCTACCACAGGCATGCAGGCAGAGGCCGGGTTGAAAAATCACGTCTAGAGATGAAAAGGTGAAACTTATGGTCACTAACACCATTTCACTGTATTGCTTTTCTTAAGTTACTTCTTGGGCTGAAATAGCCACTGGGGCCACGGTCAAAACCCGTAAGGAAGCAGGTTAGTGTGGTGTCCACAGAAAGCCTGCAAGCAACCTCTACCTGACTTAGTTAGCGAGCAAGAAGTGCTTAAGTTCATCTTGTAGCCCTTTCTGCTGCAAGGGGGTACTTAAGCAGCACTGGCAGACCTGGAGGAAAGCTCAGCTCCATAAAGCCCCCGGTGCCTTCACACCATCTCTCAAGCCTGCTTCTCATGCGTGTGGGGTTTTGTGCATGTTGTAGGGGTTTACGTGAGGGCTGGAGCTGCTGGTGAGTGGGTAGAGCCTTAGGCTTACGAGCTGGTTCACGCTGTTGTCTTGGCTTCCTTTAGGGTGGGAGCTGAAGCAGAGGGAGGGAAGCTGTCAGAAAGCGGGGTGGGAAACAGGTTTCCTTTCAGACTTGGGGCGGCTGAGTTCAACCTGCCGACTAAACTAGGGAGAAGAAATCAATATTGAGTGTGCAGTAAGGCACGACCGGGAGATTTCTCTTTTCTTTTGGTAGAGTGGGGTTTGGTTCTTTTGGTGGTGGTGGTGGTTTGGTTATTCTTTGCAGGCAAGTAGTGACAAAGCCTGATAGTGCCGTTAGATTGGTCTGTGTATTTTTTGAGCACTGTTTTAAAGAGGCAAAGAAATGCCTGTCAGCTTTAGGTCAGTCACCCAGTTAGGGCTTGGGCTCAGTCAGGGGAGTGAACATAGGACCAGGAAAGTCACCCGCAGGAGGCCTTTACAAAACAGTAATTTCTAATTGCTACATTAGTCCTAATTCAGCACCCCCATTCACCCCTCCTGCCCCAAGGAAGGCTGGTTCCTGGGGACAAATACCCACTCCAACACAGCCATCATGTCATTGCAATCCCTTCGTTGTTTTTTATTGTCCCCTGTGCCAGCTGTGTTGCCTTCTGTGTAACTCAGCTGCTGCCTGCTATTGTGAAAGACGTCATGGAAAATAAAGACTCATGAGTGTGGCCTCATGTTTAATTAGAAGCTAATGTGCTATTATTATTAGGCACTGAAGGAATGTACTGGCAAAGCAGTGCTTGAGCTGTTTTAAAAGCATTTTAAAAGTGTACTTTCCCCTTGCCTAGCTGGCATGCACCACCTTTATTAGGAGGCACAAGACTGTTGCTACCTCATCTTACAGCTCTTTTGCAGCTCAGGCAAATACCACTGGAATTAAGGCATCTCAGATCTCACTCTTGGGAGGACTTTGAAATAGAAGGGTATGGTGTGTACAAGGCTAGGCCAAGTGTTTAATCATAGTGGCACAGGACTTGAGAGGCTAAGTGGTCTGTGGTTGAAGTTGCTATAAAGAGTGACTGATTAAGTACAGCTTAATGAAATATGACAACCTTATTGGTCTCAAAAGAAGTTGTAAGGAAGCAGTAAGAAAATTACAGCTTTGTTTGTTTAACGAGAAGTTTCACTGTCAGCACCTTTAGGAAGCTTGCTGTGACTGCCATACTCCAGTAAAAGGCACATTGCTGTGCAAGCTCCGCATATTGGCATGAGCATGGCTTCACCATCTACTCTTTAATAGCTTCATTAGGCAGGCAGTGAACTCTCTTCAAGCTCAAGAAATTGAACCAGGGAAATTGCCCACAGAAGGTGCCTACTTGGAGCAAGGAACACCACCAAACAGCAGCAAGCACCCATCCTCCTTTGGTTACTGCCCTCAGCCACCACCATCTCCAATGACAGGAGGCTGGGTTTGGGTTTTTAAGAAAGTATTGAAGTTCATGGGGACTATATTCTCAGAGGAGCACTTTGACTCCTAGAATCATTCCTATCACTGCCACGAGGTATGTGCAATAAAGCTCTGGAGCAGGAGCATCTTTCCTGTCAGGGAGGTAGGAGCAAAGCACCACATTGCTGCTTGTTCTGTGGCACACACAGTGGGAACACACCATCAAGGAGAGGAGATCAGCAGCCTACCAGTCACCAGGAAACGTGAAAGAGCAGCTGACTTGGTTTCAAGATGGGGAAGAAAACCAGACTTCCTGAACAGCTACAGCACAGGTTAAACGGGGCTTTAGTCTGTAGACTTATTCTGTAAAGACACCTCAAATTCATTCAAGCTCCTTACCTCCCATATAAAAGCTAAGGGGAACGTGAAATTGAAGACAGCCTTCCATGTTAACAGTTTGAGACTCAGCATCACTGAACTCATTAGTTGTGTGTTGCTGCTGGTCAATGGATTTTCAGTTGCTTAACAACTACAAAATACAGACAGCTATGGAACACAGTCTTTCTTTTATTAATAACAGATCACATTTGAACTTTGAAAAGAGTGAAATTAAAAGGTGTATTAAAACATACCCACTCTATGCAATCTATTTTCTTCAGTAGAAAAAAAGCATACAACAGCTAGAAATACTATATACACAGTATATCAGTCTAGTCATCAGCCTTCCAAACATGCAAATAGGTATCATGGTGTTAGAATACACCATCCAGTTACAGTCTGGTATGAATTTTAGCTTTGATTTTCTCATCTAAGACAAACCACTAAGCACCTAGTTCAGCTTACTGATCTTAAAATACATACAGGGTGGTACTGTATATGAAGATACCAGTGTTAAGCTTTTACTTCTCCTTCTGTATTTTAGGAATCCTGCCATGTTAGTATGTCTGTCTTATCAGTTTTGAGTACATGGAAATCTACAATCAATGTCTCCATTGAACCGAGTACCTTCTGACACAAACATGGTTAGCTGTATCTTAAGCAGCCCTTTCCTCATCTCTAGCATTTACTTCAAGAAGATTTGTGTTGTGTTTATTTTATGCTGGAGGCTTTCAGCCCGAAATATAGATCACTGCAATAAACCAGTAATCTACATCACTACATCATCCTAGTTCTGGGGTTTTGTTTTTGTTTTCCTCAGAAAAATAAAAAAGCAGAATGTTAGCTCTTAAATTAGTTTGGCACATGGAAAAAAAAAAAAAAAAAGCATGGAGAAACCCACAAGTTGCATCCTTCTCTCACAACATCCTTGGGAGAGGAATGTCAATATACAGACAGGCAGGCACACGCAGAATGACTGATACAGACCACAGTATGGCAGACTCTGGCTCTTAGCCTTACATCCAGTCTTAGTCCATGTGTGCTCTCACTTGCACACTCAGACACGAGTAGGTTCTGCTGGTTCCACCTCAGTCCATCAGCTGACATGCTGACGAGTGGGTCAGTGCACAACTGGAGAAGGCCCTTGCATCAAGCTCCAGCAACCCTCTTGCACCAGGTAGAAAGGTAGCAAGTTCTGTCCCTTTTGTTTAAGTCTCACTTAGCAACACAGTAACTGAACTACTACTGCCCTGCTGAGCAAGCTGTAGCAGGGTCTGACATGTGGGTCTTTGCATGTCAGCGTATGCCCCATGCTTCAGAAGAACCTCAACTGTTTTTGTGTGCCCTCCTTGTGCAGCCAGGTGAAGAGCTGTCAACCCTTCACTGTCAGAAACACTGATATTTTCTGAACTGACAAGTTCCTCTACTACTTCAGAGTGCCCGTTTTCTGCAGCAAGATGTAATGCTGTCCTATTTAAAGGGCCCCTGGCTAAAACACTGGCCCTTTCATCTACAAGCAGCTTTGTCGTTGCTAAATGGCCACTGCGAGATGCCAAGTGCAGTGCAGTGTATCCTTCCGCTGTTGCTGCCTCAATGTCTGCACCATGCTTAAGGAGCAGCCTCGATGTGCTTGTGTGGCCTGTTTCAGCAGCAATGTGGAGAGCAGTCTGCAAGAGCCCATTCTGAATGTTGACATCCGACTCCAGGTCTATAAGAAGGCGAGCGACACGGTAGTGTCCTCGTTGAGCAGCTAAGTGTAGTGAGGTCCTTCCATCCACAGTCTGCACGTTCACATTTGCACCCCGCTGTTTGGCCAGAAGCTTTACAATGGGGAGATGACCTTGCCAGGCAGCATAGTGCAGTGGCACCCAGTCATCCTTTCCTTTGATGTTCACGTTAACACCTCTTCGCAGCAGGATCCGCACAATATTCTCTTGGCCATACTGACAGGCTATATGGATGGGGGCTCTGCCTTCAAAATCTACCTCATTTAAGGATGCATTCTTATCAAGCAGCATTTTGGTGCTGAAATCATCCCCATTTTGGGCAGCAAAGTGAAGAGCAGTCCACTGATCCTCATCTTTGGCATTAACATTGATTTTCCTAGCCATAATCAGCTCCACAATGCTTTTAAATTTCTTCTCAATGGCTATGTGAAGAGGGGTGGATCCCTTCTTGTTGGTAAGGTTAGGATTAGCATTGTACAGGAGGAGCCATTTGACACATTCTTCTTGACCAGCTTCAACAGCCAGGTGCAAAAGACTGGAGTTCCCATCTAAAACAATATCAACATCTTGAGGCTGGAGGATCTTCATTAGCTTGCTGGTGTCTCCAGATAAAATGGCCTCTGTTAGCTTCCTCTTCTGGATGTCTGTAGTACCAATATCTGGATGGAAACAAGGAAGACGTTTTTTACAATGAGGATGGCGAGACGCTTGAACAGTTTGCCCAGAGAGGTGGTAGATGCCCTATCCCCAGAAACACTTAAGATCAGGTTGACAAGGCTCATGAGCAACCTGATCTAGCTGAAGATGTGCCTGTTCATTGCAGGTAGGTTGGACTAGATGACCTTTAAGGATGAGCTTTGGGTTGCCTTCCAACCCAAACTACTCCTGGAAAAGACACCATCAATTCTGATAGCCATCAAATCTTTTTTCCCTATAGCTAACATATCTGGTGGCTTCAGAAATGACTTGACTGCAAAGAAAGCCCCCTCCCACAGTAGTTCTAAAACAATTTCAGTTCAGATTTAGAGCCCCACTTATTTTTATTCTGTTTCTTGTGGAATGAAGACCCAAGGATGCTGTGGTTGATCTCCCTGCACTAATCATTGTTTGCCTAATTGGAAAACAGGTAACTGGTTTTTGCAGCACTGGACTGAGAATGGAGGGGGCTGTGTGCATCAGGGTCTTTATTACAATGTTGATAGGGGCTGCTGAGAACACGGCTTGAGTCTTCTCAAAAAAGTGCTCAGACTTGGGCTTATATAGGTAACTGAAAAAACCCACAAACGCAGCTGACCTGACGGGGCACTGGCTTTAGTCCCACTTCCAGGGGGACGTTGGACTAGGTGACCTCTCTTCCAACCAGACTTTACATGACTGATTCTGTAATTGCTTTGATGGGAACTCAGGTCACTTCTTTTCAAAAGTAAGTGAGATTTATTATTTGTCTTTAGATCACGTTTGGGAACCACCTCATTCTTTTTTTCTGTTAAATAACTACCTCCAGTAAACAAATCTGCAGTGCTGACTAGAGAAAGCAAGACTAACAGTGATTGCCAGAATGCTATTCTTTATTATGACTACTCTCCAATCCAAAGACTCCCATGCCCCAGTCCAAACAACTACAAAGAAAAGCTTGACCGTTACCTGAACTCTCCCTTTCAAAGGAAAGGGAAAGGGAGCCTCTGGATGAAAAAGCTGAATCTACAGATGAAACTCCTGAAAGCCGCTTGTCACTGGAGGCAAGTTTGGACTCTGAACAGCTGCGGCTGAGATCCTCAGGGCCTTCCATAGTCTGTGAAATCCCTGAATCCAGCTGGGACAACAACTCTGACAGACTGTAATCCTTAACTAGTGGTAGATCAGGCTCCTGTTTTGTCTTGGATAATGCAGAAATCCCCTTCAAGAGAAGCAAACAAGCATTTTAGAAAGGTCAGTAAAGAACACTAAGCATGAGTCCCCATAGGAAGAAAAATGTTTGGAGGCAGCCTTTAAGCGCTGTAATACTGCATGTAACCTCTGAGTAAGGTAACTGAAAATTCTCAGATGCAGGAGGGCAGCTTTCATCAGTGCTCACACAGCCACTAGAGCCACCTATCTCCTGTCTACAGTATCATACCCACATAGTTCCAGCCTTTACTTCCTAACTTTCCTGCTCTCCCTCAGTTCTGCCGTGAGGTTTTCCTGAGCTGGTCCATGCATCTGCTGTCACATTTGCATTTCAGTCCTTCACCAAGAAGGACCACTTCTATCATGCAGGAAAATGCTCAAAAGCAGCAAAGAGAAGGTTGCTTGGGAAGTTACAGGTCACAGAGGAACCTGCTTGCAACAAAACCTAGTGTGCTTGAACAAGGGGCAGAAAGAGAAAAATACCTCAGGCTGCTGCTCTGGGGAATTCTTGGTGTCCAGGTCCTGAGTTACCATCTCTTTCATTTCATCTTCTGGTTTTTCACAAAGAGCCTCTGTTTCTGAAGTGATTTCTTTGAAGAAAGCAAGAGAAGTTTGGTTGGTTTGCTTTTAAATAGGAAATGTTCCTGAGATGCCCTGCTGCCTTTCTTTATCATTAAAGCTTAACATCTCTAATTCCAGTTTTGTACCTATTGATGAGCTGCTGGATGGAATAGCCAAGTGTGTACCTAAGCAAGGGGCTGACTGCACAACTTCACATTCAGACCAGACTGATGTTACATGGTGGCTATGCTTCAGGACTGAAATGGGAGCCCGTCTACTGCCAGCAGATGTAGAAATATGTATTTAAAAAGATGGAATTCATCCTCCCCCTTCAGTCTCCATATCTTGTTTGGGCAAGAGGAGAGAGAGGAAGCAAATCTCTCCCATTAATGCTACCTAATAGCACTTGGAGATAGCACTTGCTACATCCTTGTGCTCATCTGAATTCATAGCAGGTGCTCTGGGCAAGTTCAAGCTTTTCACCAGAGCTGCCTTTTGTTGGCAGAGAAATGAATGTACAAATTATTTTGTTATAAGAAAACAGTTCAGTTTCTCAGCACACAATGGTACATTTCAAGAGCCAGGGTCTTTGAATGCTTTGTATGGTGAAGACCACACTAGCTCCTGTTTATCGTATGCTCTGATAAACACAGAAATGTACATAATTTCTGGATCAGTACAGGTCTTATTCCTCCTGAGTTTACATAACCCCATCATGGTCAGACTTGTCCCCACATAATCCCTTCCTCCACAAACGAATAAGTGGCTTGTATTATTGTCTCTACCATACAATGTGCTCTATTTATTCTGTCACAGAGGTTCACAGCATTTACCCCAAGGATTAAGAGTCCTGAGTAATAACGTGACTCATAGAAGAATAAATGGGCAGCCAAGTTACAAGGAAATCTTACCTTTAAAAGTTGGCCGTTCACCAGGATCATCTTGCCAACATTTTTGCATCAGTTTGATCAAGTTATTACATGAATGAGGTCTGGATTTGGAAACAGCAGGTAGCTCTGGGCGGTGGCCTTTAACTACTTTTACCATAATATGCAAAATGTTGTTTTCCTCTGTAAAGCAAGAGCACACCAAGTAAGATCTCCCAGCAAAAGGTGTGATTTCTCTTTTGTCTTAACAGCACTAACAGTGTATTAGGCTGAGATTTTGTCTTCAGAATTTTCTCTAGATTTAGACTGCCTTTTTTTATCAGCAGGGAACAAGAAGTTCATCTTAATTCTCCCAAAACACATTCAATGTGTTAACGCTTACTTCCCGTGTATCACTTAAACACAACTGTCAGTGAATGATCCTTCTTTTTCCACCATAAAAAAACCCCAAAAAACTGAAACAAAGAAAAAAAAAGTAATCCAGCAGTTCTGTGCTGCCTCTTTGGACTTCCCTTTCTGCTGTAAAAAAGCTGAACCACGGCTTTTGTTTAGACCGGGTACCTGAACTATTCATAAAGGTGAAGAACAACACAAATCAAGCAGTGCAGTATTGTGGCTCCTGACTCTGAAGTCAACCACTGGGCTAAATGGGATGTCTCACTTGGGTAAAAAACTAATAGTAGACTGGGACATGTTCAAACATGTTTGCTATCCATAGGCTAGTCATGCACACAGGAAAAGTCATACAGAATAAAGAGCTGCCTGTTGATCAGTGCATTTACTGTGGGGTGGAACAAGGCTCATTCTCACAGACAGCTTTTTATTTTTTTTTAAAGAACAAATCTGTACCCGCAATCTACAAATAAACTATAGAACCTCTGTGCAGAGAGGCTGGTTCTGAAAACAGCACAGTGCCTGCCAGCTGGCTTTGCTCTGTGCTGTTCCTCGTTGGCCACAAACATATCAGAAGTCTGCAGAGGCCACAGACTAATCTGGATCCATACAGCAAACTCCAGCAGAAGCAGAAAGATGCAGACAAGGGCCTCTGCAGCAACATGGGCTCTGCTTTCACAGTGCAGTACAAAGGAGGACTTACACTTGTGATCAGAATTTGAGAACTTAAAAGTGGCTACTGCAGAAGACTGTAGGAATTTGGAGGACAAGCTTATAATCTGGGGTTGGTGGGTCAGGAAGTGTGCTGATCAGTGGAGAAAACTAAAAAATTCCAAAACAACCCACAATATATCAAACTTACCTGCGAAAGGCTTCTTCTGAGTAAGAACTCCCCAAACCACAATGGAAAAGCTACAAAACCAAAAAAATTAAAAAAAAATAATAAAAATTATTTCTAGAAAAGCTTAAAAAGATCCTCCAACAAAAAAGTCAAGAAGCTCACAGAATTATCATTTACTTTCCCAAGTTCTCTTTTCATTGTCCTTCACTTCTGCATCTGATTCATCTGATGACCACATACTGCCAGATGCAGGCAAGAATATGATTTGAAAGTCTACTTTTTTGCAGGGAGGAACCTGAGGCAGCAAACACAAGAGACTTGCTGGAGGCTGCCAAGCTGTTCTTGGTAACATTTACCAACTACTCCACATCAAAACTAACAAAATCAGAGAGCAGCAAAGCATTGCTGTGGATTTTACTTAATACTTCTACCTTGTAAAGCTGCTTTAAAGAAATGCAGTCCATTTAGAATATGACATATCTCTTAATCTGCAGCTATGATTTCTTTTCCCTAGTAACATTACCATGAAAGAAGAATCAAAGACTGAGTGATTAAATCCACTGAAGATAACTAAGAATTTTGTCACAGACTCAAAAAGTAGGTCGGGATGTACCTTTTGATGGGGAAACTACAGGTGGGCAGAGGGCCTCCCATGCCAGATACTAATAAATGTTACTTGGAATAATAATGCTCAAGACCCAGGATCAGATGCAGTTTGTTAAAAGGCCTCTACCCTATTAAGACTTTGCAAAAAGCAGAGCAAGTGTAAGCCTTTGCAAGGTAAGGCTCAAACTACGTTTAGGGGTTTCATGTTTAATTAGGTTTTATAACCAGAAAAAGGGGTTTCATTTTACAGTATTACTTTAAGCGGTTTTAAGTGTTTTCATGGTGAACTGACCTGTACACATCATGTTTGGTGTCAAAACACCTGTTTTTCTCCTTGATGCGCTCTGGGGGAAGGTATGCGATTGTGCCACACAAGCCATCCATGCTGATGTCATGAGAATGGGACAAGCCATTGCACTTTGCAAGTCCAAAGTCAGAAATCTGGAGGAAAAATGGAGGAAGAAGGGATGAGAAGTGCATGCCACCATTAGACTTCAGAGGCACTAATAATTTTCTGTAAAGAGGGACAGATGTAACAGGATCACCTAACAAAATATTGCAAGCGGCCATTGAGAAGTACTAAGCCAAGAGAACACAGAATGGATTGGTATGGAAGGGACCTTAAAGATCATCCAGTTCCAAGCCCTTGCCGTGGGCAGGGACACCTTCCACTACACCAGGTTGCTCAAAGCCCTGTCCAACCTCGCCTTGAGCACTCTGGAACATCTCTGGAAGCATTACGCTATGGCAGTCTTTTCTTTATGGTTAAACAGCGAGCAGTTTTTTGCAAGCAGCAGCATGTTACGCAGCAAACACAACAAACAGTCAAGACAATTTATTGTAATTTAAAACTAGTCAAATTTAGCTAGTGTAAAGTACTTTACTGTAATTATTGGTGCTGCCACCCCCTTTCCCTATGTAATCTCACATTGCACACTATGTGTAAGTGTTCTGAGCACCTGTTTTCAAACCACGAGCTCTCCAATGGGTGCCAGAGAATTGTGCTTTCAGATTTCACTGTTACACTGACCGTGCCGATAAGGACTAGCCCAACACCAGAGGCACCAAGTGTTAAAAACCCCAAAACACACACACCAAAACCCCACACAGGGCATTTTTCTTTTTGGCAACCAGGAGATATGGCAAGTTGGTGCAGTGACGCAGTGAACACAGCTGAAATGAACAAAACAAGTGACAGCAAGTTTATAAAAAGGACACACCTCTACTTTAATTTCAAGTGTCAAACAAATATGCATTCATTTGCTCTCAAAAGCATACCAATCATCAAGCAAACAGACAAGCAAAGAATTTCCTTTGTCTTCCTTATTTCCCACTGGACAAAAATGTCTATTATTCTAAGTGGAAATTTCAAGAAAAGTCAAGTCTTCTTGAACCACTCTGATTTTTGTGTACATGTTAGATTAGATTTCTCCCCTCCCCCTGCCTTATACATTATTTTATCTAATAAATACTCAGGTTTTTCATTTATTCGTTCCCCTTTTGATCTTCACCGCTTCTCCTTTGAGAAAGTTCACCCTCAAAACAGCAAGCATAATTAAAAAAAAGTTGGGTTTTTTTTCACTAGGCTCTAACCGTATCCTTTCAGAAGTTTCTGTCTAAAGATAACCACAAAGCCAGTCCTAACATGCATCCATTACTGGAAAGGGAGAAAATTGCTGCCAGGTTTGGCCTCCTGGAGAACAGGCAGGCCACACAGCCATTGGTCTTCAAACGCTAGGAATCTCCCTTTGCCATAAAACAAACAAAGCAACCCACACGGCTTCAGAAGGAACTTCTCCCAGGGGCAGACAGCTCAACAGAGGCATTCTCAGGGGCTGTAGGACTCCTGTACCCTTGCACACAGGTATACCCAACCTGTTGTCCAATCCTTAAAGTGGGAATTACTTGAGAAGAAAAATGTTTGGGGAAAAAAAAAAAAAAAAAAAAGAAAAAAGAAACAAGAAACAAGAAAAGCCCTCTGGAGGAATAGTTTCTCATGCTTGTAGGTTTACACTTTCAGAGCAGGGCTGCTGGCCTCCTCCACAAGCCAAGCACTGGAGTCCAGGGAAGCAGTAAGTAATCAAGAAACCCAGGTTCGCAAGCTGGATCACCCTGGGAAGAGCTGAACTCATTGCCCCAGGAAGTGCTGCATGAGTTTGGGGCACTTAGTGCTCCACTAGAGAACAAAAGCACAACCCCAATCACACAAGCCCGTGGTGTCAGTTTAATAAATGAACCGACTACTGCAAGTCTGAACAGATCCGACTTGGAGGAACACTGCTATCCTTTGATTAACATAAAGCAGAGACTTGTATACACCTCAAGAAATCCATATGGCATAATTAAAGTAATACACCTTCCTCTTTGTCTAAACAACACCGGCTTTCCTACTGTGTAAGTTAAGAACTAAAGATGAAATACAGACAGCACAGCGACACTCCTACATTAAGAGCTACCAGCTGTGTTGCATGAATCCAAGGCTAGGGGATAAGACAGGCAGCTAAGCACACTGGATTGAACAGTCTCAGCCTACAGACCAAGAAACAGCTAAGGTACATAGCATACCTCCCCCTTCCCCTATGCTAGCAAGAATTTTACTTTATGAACCTGCCCCTACCTACTGTGAAGGACTAGCTTTTATACCAGTTACTAGGAAATACATCTTTAGAACAGAGCTTCAATATAAAATTCTGCAGAAAGCACTGGAAATTGAAGAACTGTTCTCTTTCAGCCTGCCACAAAATAGTAAGATTCTGCAGGCAGTTTTTGTGGCTTTTGTTAGATCCTTTAGGGTGAATTTTCCACACTGCATGGTATATTTACTCATGCAATTTCTTTAAACATCAGTGGGAACTGTGCAGTGGGTGGAAAACACAGCCCTTTAACTTACCTATTTTGCCTTTAAATTGCTTGCCAGGTACCTAGTCCTGCAACACAAGGCACACTTGCTGGTGAAGATAGTGAGAGTGGAGCACCCCTCCCCACTTCTTCCTCCACATCCCCGCTAGCCTTTGCAGCCCACCCTGGGATCTGCCCTGCTCCACAATCCAACAGGACCTGTAATCTCACTCCTCACATCAGTTATTTCAGGTGGATCCCATCATGCTTCAAAAGCATACCTAGTATCAGTAGGGTTAAGAGGAGACATGGAGGCGACAGACTTCTTCATGCAAAACACGCGGTGAAGAGGTAGGAAGAAGAGAAAAAGCATTGGCCAATGCCCACGCAGACAGTGGGATTGTTCATGTTCAGACAGCTTGCTTGGTCTCTGCTCTTTAAAGGTCTGCATGAGAACAAACACGTGAGCGGCGACTGGGGAGGGGAGCTGTACGTGCTTCCCTGCCCACTTCCCAGCAACTCTTACTTTACTGAGAGATTCCAAGATCTCAAGATTATTTTTTTCTTTCCCTTTTTAGCTGTGTTTGTTTTAGTTGAGCACGCTGTGAACATAGGCTGTTCTCTGCTCCTGACATTCGTGGACCTTTGCATTCCAGTTTGTAAAAACCACAAAAAATTTTAGGTGGTTTGAGTCTGTAAAGTTAGTTTTTGAAACTTTTTTTGGTCTTTTTTAAACTGGTATATATGCTCATGTAGCTATAATGGTTACTAAAGTCAGCTATTCCCACACATGGCAGGGATCTAGGAACAAAATCAGTGCTTGAAAGTGCTTTCACTGCTGACTCCTGACAGGCCACCCTGAAGCATGCACTTATCATCTGATGATGCAAATAAGACTAAAGAACCCACTGCAGTGGACTTGGGGACAGAGTTCACCAAAAGGTCTTCTCCACCAAATAGGTAACAAAGCCATCAGATTAATTTTTAATCAATGCTGGCATATCCAGTATTCGTCTCTGTGCAAAGTCTCTGCACACTTGGATAGTGAGAATGCCCTCATATTTGTCTACAGGGTTTGGGTGTTAGCAGCAGGTTGTGTGTTTTCCTGGGGGTAGGCGAGGCAGGCTGGTTGTTTCAGTTTTGTTCTTTAAGAAATGCCAGAAATTTTAAGAAACTTACATGTGTCACAGACCTGGACTACTAAAAATGAGGAAAAAAAATATGAATTCTGAGTGTAGACAAAACAAGCGTCTGTACTTCAAACAGATGTCTTTACTTCAGTGTTTATGAACACACTCCAGTTAGCTACTAAAAGAATTCTTCCTGAAACAGACTGTATTTCCACCCTTTCCCAACCTGCCCTGAGACCTTAACTCCTCAAAACCTGTTTCAGGTGTGACATTGGTACTGCTCTCTTCAGAAGCAGTAGGAGCCAAAGCCATGGTCAAGCATCCATTTTAACCTATCATAAATCTGCATTGCCATAACAGGAATGGTATTGTTCCCTTCCCTGTGCCACCACAATTAGATCAATTAAGGAACTGATCAAGGTGAAAACCAGCTTTGTTGGTTGGGATTAAAGAGCCAGTTAACAGCAGCCCTACACAGAAACCTTCATCAGGAGGGGTGGGAAAGAGGCAGAAGGGGCACACAAAACAAAAAAGCCTCTTCTCATTTCTAATCACAGGAGAGCATTACAGCTGATAAAGTGGCTGTGTTAACTACCTTAGCTAGTCTAATAAAGAGAAACAACCTCTCCTCACCAGTCTGGCCTCTGGGTATTACTCTGACCTACAGTTAACAACCTACATTAAGCAGCTTTCTGAAAAACAAATCTGCCCTTTGATTAGGCTGCTTCTAACTCCACACTCTGAAACACTGCAGCCTCTTCTTCAGCTGAAGCAAATAAAGACAAAGATCATAGAGGCAACCTATCCAAGTTAAGCAAGACCATCAGCACAGCACAGCACAACATGCGGTAAACTTCACACTGGTTTAAAATGGAGTGCTGGCATTATGGGAAATAAAAGGAACTACAGTGAGCTTAAAGCAGTGCACAGCTGAGACCAGCTCATCCCACTCCTAGTTCTTAAAATCTGGGATATTAAAAATAACTGGCAGGATTTGCCTCTGTGTATGCATGTACCCACACATGTAGATATGCGCATGTGTGTGTGTTTATATATATGTATACACACACACACACATATATATATGACAAGATGAGGAAATGCAAAGAACAGGCTGTATAGTAAGGGAAATAAGAACTTACAAATAACACTTCTGCCCAAACGTCTTAAGTTGCAAGTTCATTTAATTTTAAATACCTGAACAAAAAGGAACACTCTTAACCATAAGACACTGAAGGTAAGAAACCTGGGAAGCAGCAATAGAGAGAGCATGCAGGCATGACAGCTGGCACCAAGTTAGGGTATGAGGCTGCTGCATGCTGGGTAGTGGTGGTGTATTTTCCTACAGAGGGCCTCAAAGAGAGATCACGTTGGAGCAAGGCATGAGCAAACAGCCCACGAGGGTAGTGCTGGAATGTGGCACTGCTTCCCCAGTGCCAGCTCCCTGCAAGCAATTGCCACATCACAGGGAGCTCAGGGGAGACATCCAGAATGCGTACAGAGGGCAGAGGAGCTGAAGAACAGCCTCTTAAAACGTAGTCCATTAAGCAAAAACTAGGTATTAGCCCATAAATACTGAAACAGTGGAGAAAGGGGCAAGGAGGACCTTGCTGGTACAAACAGAAGTAACAGGTTGATATTAAGATTAAAAAAAAAAAGAAAAAGCAGCAGACTGATCCTTGCTAGCAAAGCCTGTCAGGGTATGGAATAATCCTCCCAAGGAAAACACAGTGCTTAAGGCAACCAAGATGGAGCAGGACATGGCCGGGGCTGGAGCCGTCAGGAGTGAGTTCTACCAGTACTCACCGGGGAGGAGGCATGCATGGATCCATGCTCCAAAAGGCCACCAAACCCTGCCCTTGTGTTGTACATATTATATACGTATGTTTAAAATCACCAAAGAAACCTCCAACATGCCTTTGAAAAAGTTAGTATCTGTCCCTGATCAGTGCTCAGGCTAATCCCATCCTCTTAATTATCCTCCCAAGAACAAAATTCAGCACACACTTATGTAATGCACACAGGAGACGGCTTTATGATATGGAAGCACCCACTTGATGATAAGTTCTGTAGAGCACAACTGCGTTAGTCATCATCCTCACTTGGGGATTTTACAGTAAGCATTGTGCTTGTTAAAAGAAGAAGGGTGTGTTTCCATTTAACTAGCAATATAGCACAGAAGCATTTCTAATGTGCTCCACTGGAAGACTGACTGTTTCCTGGCTCAAGGGCAAACGATTTATAAAGGCCTCCCTATCTCCAAACTCTTCTTCTGCAGTGTACATCTCTTCACTCACCTTAGGGACAGTCACTTACTAAATTAACACTAACATTTAAAAAGTAAAAACACTTCAATCATCAGCTCCATTAGCCTTCCAGCAAGAAAATACACATTAAATCAAGCTGCAGGGTCCAAAATTTAATTACAAGCTTCACATCACACAAAAAGGTTTGGGGCCACATTTTTAAAGTGAAGGCACCTCACAGAATATGTGCATCTCTTATTTTGCATGCAGGTTCCTATGTCTGCTTGGAGGGGTTTCCAAGGTACCCGCAAATGTAAAATACCGCTGACTGGAAACAGATCTGCATTAGACTATTATTCTCTGACCTTAATGGAGAGAAGGTCCAAAGACCCTCATGTATTCAATATACAGAGCAAGTAGCAATGGTTCAGGGATGTCAGCAGTGACCTCACTAGAAACACATTTTTTTTGTACCTGCACTTGCCCCCTTGTATTATATCACCACCCAGATATAGGCTATAAAGCAGGACGAACACCAGATAGCATTTCAACCTCCTGAAACAGTGAGAAAAATACAGCCTTCATATCTTGGCTCACAGATGAGTCAACAATTAGGAATTTAAGAAGTTATGCAAGCAAGCACAAACTTTAAGTAAATAAATACTTAGCAAAGGTGCCTCAGCACTAATGTCTGAGAATATACTTCCAACAGTTCAGATCCTGATGCTCTGGTCATAATATCATGGACCACCTGTAGATGCCACCTACCTCAAAGAAAATCTTTCCAAGTACACCACTAAGGCATAGTAAAAAAGCTGAGACTTATCTCCGGTGCAGCTTCATTAGAGGCACACACCTCTTATGGCTGCAACATTCTCATGACATTAGGAAAGATGTTTTAATTTAAGAAACCTTCATTTTTCAGTATGGTGCAGCGAGACCAAAGCCATTTTGCTAGTTTGAGGGGGATAAGAAAACAGGGAACAGATGGATGATGGCACTGTCAATCTGTGACTACTCGTACTATGACTACTGAGTTGTATCAGCCAGCCAGCATGATTAATAATGCAGTTCTAAGGCTAAGAGTTTGGCCACTAACTGGGGGGGGGGAGGGGGAAGAATCAGGAAAATGATATATTTCAGTCTCTTATCTCTCCAAAAGGAAGGATCAGAAAGCAATCTCCTTAGACCAGCTGTCAAAACAGAACCTCCAACAGAGAAGGCAAATAGGTTGCTAGCTTGTGCTGGAAACAGTTAACAAAAATGATTTCATGCTGATACGGAAACAAAAATTTCTTTAAGTTACCTCTGGCATGCATAAACAGTCAGGACAGAGATACTTTTTTACTATAGATGCTCTGAGCAAATGAAAGAAGAGAACAAAGTGCCTCTGGGAAGGCTTCTCCAGACTCCAGCTTAAATGCGATTTGTGTATTTAGTGGAGTGTACAAAGCCAGAAGGACCTACACTGAACAAGGTTACCCCATGGACAGCTGTGAAATGGCATAGATGATAGAGATTTTCTCTCCCTGTTCTCATCTGTCTCATGACCTTATTGCAAGGAAATTTATAGCAGGACCCATCAGGCCTCAGAATCAGAGTTCACTATGTTAGTACATTCCTAAAATTTCAGGAGAGCTCTCACAAGCTCAACTCTACCTCTGTTTACATACTGAAATGGTGCATGCATCAGGCAGACAGGTTTGGGGATTTGAGGGGCTGGGTTGGTGCGCTCTAACTCAAAAGGAATGCTGCTGGTTTCTCTCAGGCCTTTCAGTTTGGCAGAAGCCATGCAAGAATATCCAAAGGTGGGTTCCTGGCACAAAGTGCCCAGTGCGTACCTTAACATGGTAGTGGGCATCAAGCAGGATGTTTGCAGGCTTGAGGTCCAGGTGGAGCAGCGGAGGAGACATGCAGTGCAAGAAGTTCATCCCCACAGCTGTCTCATGGATGATGCGGAAGCGCAATTCCCAGGGCAGAGGTTCGGAAGCCAGAAGCTTTTCCAGGGATCCCGTTTCCATGTATTCCATGACCAAGCCAACTGGCTCTTTACAGATGCCGTAAACAGGAAGGATGTAGCGAAACTTTGCCATTTCCATCTTCCTCGCTTCTTCCAATAACTCCATGCGCTCCCTGGGTAGAAGAGAACAGATGGTGAAGGATGGAGTAGCTGGTTCTCCCCCCACACCAAATGTGCACAAAACATTAAGGAACTGAACACCACATTCATGACCATCACTTGGTTGAACCAAGTACATCTCACGAACCTGTACTCCAGGCATATTTCCACATTTACTAACTTTGGTTTATGCCCCTAATGGTAGGTAGCTCACAGTTGCTGAACCACAGGCAAGTTGTACATTTCCAACAGTGCAAACATCTCTAGTGTAAAGCCCATCTCCCCAGTTTTATGTTTATGCTGTGCTGTTAAGAATGAGGATGATACACATAGTGCCCAGATTTACCACTGCTGTAACTCCTTGGGCTAAAGTCATTAAGTTTTTGTGAGTCATACAACTGTGTTAATCAGGAGAGGGCACAGATAGCATTGCTTCAGCTGCAGGCTGCCAGCATGCAGACCCAGGCCTTGGGAAGGGAATCCCTAGGACCCACCATTTAGGGGAGGCAAACTGACTGCTCTAGCTAGGGGGACACAGCAAAAGCTTCCTTGTCCTCAAACCCTAGATTTGGCAGCTCCAGTATTATGCTCACTCAGCTCCAGTGGATGCCGAAAACTCCTGACACGCATTTTTTGGTGATGTAACAGGCCCAGCACCAGCATATGTCACGAGCACCCTGGATTGTTTATGTGTCATTTTAGCCTGACCTTACACAGCGCTAAGCGTTACCCGGTCCAAGCTGCAGCCTCCCAGCTCAAGCCCCTTAATTGCCATGCACTCCTTCTGCACCTCACAGACGGCTTTCAGGGCTGCAACAGCCTGCACGGGCCAACTGAGCATTGAGTTGGAAAGAGGAAACAAGGGTCCTCTCACCCGGCTGACCGCGCTCACAAAGGGGAGCCACACACGATGTGTGAAAGAACTGTCTACTACACTAGCAGCAACAATGAGTAGACCCAGAGCAGCTCGGGGCCACTGGTACTGCTGCATCACTGTTGCTGCCACCCACTGATTCACAGAAGAGGACACAGGGAGGTCAGATAGGTAATGTTTCGTGAACCAACCCTTTCTTATTACACGACAGTTCTTGTAATGTACCCAAGGTGCGCATACTAGTTAATGGAGAACAGTACCTGAAGTAATAGGACAAAGTTGATAAGCAGATGCGCGTTGTTGCCCCCTGCTCCATGATGCCTGGATGACCCAGAGGGCCTGTGCTGAGACACAGCCTGCAAGAGACTCTCAGTGCTCCCACATGGAAGCAATATTGGGAGCTTCATTTAACCCATATACTCCACATTAGGAGACTCCCACAACTCCTTCCCCTCTGTTTTGCCTGCTTGGGAAGCACAGAGTTGATGTTTGCTCATACAAAGTTGGCAACACGGTTCCCAACCTGATGGCTGCTCCTCACTAGCTGTAGCAGCCTGCAATAACCCAGCTCAGTTAACACCTCACACTAGGGGCAAGTCTAGCCTAACAAGAAGCAGCAGACCTATTTCAGAGGCAAGACCTGGATGAAAAATGGTTTAAGAGGGACGTACACACAGGGAGTTAAAAAAAAAAGATAAGGGAAATCTCCATCTGTTCACCATGTTGGCTCCTGCTGCTCCCTACAGCAACTTTCTTGTGAAATAATTGCCTTTGTAGACAAGTACGCAGTTTGCTCTTTGGCACGCTGGAAGGGAGCGCCTGTGAATAACACAACCAACTCCTTGCCCCCAAGCCACATGCATAGCCAGCATAATTCACCAGGCTTCGGCGGGCTGAGCTCTGGAGTCAGGGATGTAAAATACCTGTCTGAGCCCTCCAAGGCAAGGCAAGAACCCAGCAACAGCTAAAGCCTCACAAGAACCACTAGACTTGCAGGGATGGGGTTCCAAGGCTAACAACAGCCACAGAGAGCATCACCAAAATCACAGATCTCAGCTGCTTAAAATGGGGCATTTTGCCCATGAAGAGAGAATTTCCACTTAAAACAAAACAAAAAAAGCTCCCTTTCTGCTTGGATCAGACGCAGGTAGATGAGTGAATTAACTGACTGATTAATGGCCAAGTACCCTTTATCTAATTTTCCTGTTTAAAGAAACCCCTCATACAACAATCCTTCCCAAACCCAGAGTATTTAAAACTGAATAAGCTGGTATAGCCAGGGAGACATGGCAGTTCTTTAATACAGGCTCCTGTCACCTTTAGGAAAGAGAAAAGTTAAAAACACAAAAAGAAACAGCCAAAATACAACTTGGTCATTAGCCAAGTGCTGGAGTGCCCTTGCATTAATCCTATTAACACAAGCAGCTCGTTAAACCAAAATCTCCTCCATCAGGCAAAGATGAAAGGTCTTTCCCTTCCCTTTTCCCTTAGCAAGGTGCTACTGGCACTCAGAACAGTCTTAGGCGTTCTCAATGCAATACACAAGTGCTAATGCTGCAACAAAGGATGCTGTAGGTATTCTTCAAGTTCACATTTAACAGATCAAAGTATGGGATGGGCAGGGTTATGCTGCTCAGCTGCTCCTGGTGCTTAGACATTATTCTGCATTATCATCAAGAAACACTTCCCTCCAAAGTGCAGGAAAATAAAAGCTCCTTATGAGGTTTCTCAGTCAAGAGGCATGGGACTAGCCTCTGTTATAACAGTGTTTCTTATTTAATACCTACACAATTAAAGTCAGAATTATCTTCTCTAACCACCTTGGCTCCATTCTCCTCCCCCTCCAGTAGTATATCCTAACATTATGGTAATAAGAATTAAAAAAACTTGCACACAGGACAGATGAATTCATGCAAATCATGGGGTGCATACACTTTCCCCTATAATAGTATTACAAGACAGAGGCACACACACCAGGTGATCTAGTACTGCATCAGTGCCGAACAGCACCTCTGTCAGTGAAGTTCTCAATGACAGATCCGCTGTTCTCAAAGCAATCAGGACTATTTACATGAATGGAGGACCTCTGACATCCCCAAAACATCTGTCTGCTTCCACTCAAAGTCAGACCCCAATGGATAGGGCTGCATTCTTCGGATTCTCTTGGAGAGACAAGGGACTTACTCCTGCCCACTGCCTCGCTCCCCAGGGCCCATCCCTCTTGCCACAAACCCTGCCACAAGAACAGCAGGAATTATGACTGTATCTGCATTTGTGTGTATCCAATCTTTATGCCCTAAAGATAACACTGCTATAAAAATACAGCTTTAAACTCCCAAGGCAGTCCTTGCAGTTTTATATTCTCCCCACCCCCCCACATTTTCCTAATGAAGTCTGAGGCAGAGCAGTTCAAGTTGCACCAAACAAACTCAAAAAGCCCTGAAAACCTATAATATGGCCATTTGCATGTACCACCTCCAGGTGCAGAGCAGCCAGCCCACCCAAACTGCTCTTCAGTGGGGAATGCAGGTTACCTCTTTACAAACTATGCTAGTGGTGACGATGGGATCCACAAAATTACAACGTATCAGAATTTTTACAGGGGCTCTTTTTCTCTGCATCATGGCAGATGTTTAAGAGCATACAGCGACCTCTGCTCTGCAGGGTGCACCTTTAATGACCTTCACACTGCTGATCCTCAAAGAAAGCGAGTAAGAAGAAAAAACACTGCATGGTCAGGGCAGAATATACTGGGGATGGGAGGGGGGAAGTACAGAAGCTTAAATGTTCCTTCTTTCAGGTTAACACAGATCTCAGCGCTGTTCACAGATCTCTGCTGCATAACCCTGGTACAAATGTATTACAGGTTAACACAGACAGCTAGGCTCATCCCTACTCTTTGAGGAGCATGAGGTGGGTATTAAGTTTTATCTACACATCCAGAGATAACCAGAACAGGCATTCATTCACCTTCGCCACCTAAATAAATGCAGCAGCTGCTAACAGCAAGACATTTCAAAACTTCTTAAATTTCTAGGTTCTGCTGCACTCCTAAATGCAGGTTCTGCAGAGGGAGGCACATGTAGGGCTTTACTCATTTTATTTTCCCAATCAAGAGGGCAGATCTTTCCACCTCCACACCCTGTCATCACTCCCACCGGCTAATGCCTCCAGTGAGGAGTCCTCTCTGGGAACTGTTACATGGTTCATACTCATTATAGTCTGCACGTTTACATTCAGCTGTAAGAAACCCACAAAGGCTTCCAGGTTGTTCTTTCTGGGCTCTCCACCCTTTTCCTCCAGACCGTGCTTCCATTCTGGCCAACAGGAGTAAAGAGAAGGGACGCCGTGCTCCCCACTGCAAATCCTGGAGAAGAGGCTCCTCCACCTTTCTGGGTGACACACTCTTTTCTCCAGGCTTACACTGAAGCTCTCACTCTTGAGAGCATCTTGAGTCGCATGCAGGAAGTGATCTCAGGAGATGGAAAGTGGGAGCAAATAAGGTGTTAGGAATGGAATTCGGCTCAATTCCCTGAGAGGGCTCAGGCTTAAAAACACTTCTGACTGTATATTCAGTTTTTCTTCTGCTTGAGGCCACTTGGCTCTATGGTGTGATAATTGCCAAGTGAATTACTCCAAATCTCTTACTGTCTGCAGAAACACAGTAAGAGACTACAGAGTATTACCCCCACTGAGCCACTACAAACATGGTTTTAATGTGGTACTAAATAAATAAATAAGAAAAAGCCTCCATGTTTTTCAGTTAATGTTTCTGATACCACTGGTAATTCTTCTAACTCTGCTGCTTCACAGGGTTCCAAGAAATGGCTAGCCAAGTTCATCTCTGGGATTAACTGCCTAATTACACAGGCTTGTTTCAACCTGTGAACTAAAGAGGTTGTGTTTTATGCTGTCTGTGCCCCTCACCCCACCATCTGAATGACACAAGTTTCTTAGAAAGGTTTCAGGTGAGAAGTCTCTTTGGGGGCCAGTGTTATTGGCTGCCGAAAGGGGTAGAACAGCCTAACAACCGAAGAAAAAGCAGATACAAATTTAGCTTTGCTTTATTTTGCAGAAGGAGCTGTTTTAAAGGCCAGGGACCCTCCCATTTCTAATCAATGCTCCCCTTAAGCAACCAAAGCACAAATTCTGCAGTAAAACAAATAAATTACTGTTTCAAGGACTGGTTTGTTAAAATTAACCAGGAGCTGCAGGAACCTTGAAGTTCCCAAGTTCTCAAGGCGTTTTTGTTTACTCCACAGCATGTTTGTATGGTCTCTCCAAATACCTGCAAGCCTTATAACCACTGGTTCTCTATCACACATCAAATATACTAATACAGAGATTTGGTAGCAACTCTCAAGATTCACTGTTCATACTGAAATAGGTGACAGCATCCTTTGGCTCAGACTGAAAATTAACATTTGAGTAAATTTCTAGATGTATTTTGCAAATGAAAAGTATAACAAATGCTCTATCTTATTTTTAGGAGGTATTTTTATTTTAACTGCAAAATTAGTCAGCTACAGTACTATTTTGAGTAGGCCTCAAAAAGCATCAAGTCTGAAATGTACTTGGAAGTTTTAACGGTAGGAAGGCTTGCAGGGTAACCCAGTAGAACACACTCTGCAACTGAGGCTTTTCCATTTTATTCACAGACAGCAGTTATCCTGTGCATATATTCACCTTCTGTCCCTAAAAAAGGACATTTTGCCTCATTTACTGTGTTATATAAGCTATGCCTACAGCAAAGCCAGCAATTCAGATGATGAGCAAGATGTCCCGCTACCCTGCAGAAGATGGGCTTATAAACGTTTTCGACCTTAGGCCAGCTCATCTCCCTTCTCCTGCAGGAACCACAACAAATGAAACCTTTTGTGTCTGAACCAACCCACATCTCAGAAAACGAACTGCAGGATCAGCTCACAAGTTGGAAAAGATCCAGAAATGAAGGTGGAACTGGAAAAGCTCTGTGAAAAGCACTTGGCCATAATTCGCCTCCCTCTGCACAGACACTGACCAGCTGGTAAGTCACTGTTGTTCCTCAAAACAGAAGGATGTTTCTAACGGAGCTTCTGACACCCTTCTTCTCCTCCTAGGAAGGGCAATCTGCACTTGGTATGCCCCCATCACACACAGACTACGCAAGCACAGTATAGCTGAATGCCCTCCGCTATGGCCCACAACTAGTCACAGAGGGCAGGTGAGCTGGATGGGGTTCCCACTATTCTTCATCTGCAGTACAATACAGCTCCACACTGGACTACACAGTGAGGGCTCATCCTGGGCAGATGCAAGCAGAAGCGTTGGCCCTGAAGCTGGAAAATGAATTTCCCAGCACATCTCCCTTCAGCACCTGCTCCTCAAAGAGAGCATGTCCACAGCCCAACACCCCCCCCCACAGAACCAGCTGCTTGCCCCACTGCTAACCACCAGCCACCTACCACACAGCAGTCACAACTAATGCAAATGTAACGTAAAGGGCTGGCTTTTCCCAAAGTACGGAGCTCACTGGAGTGAGACACAGGAGGCTTGAGAAACCCCCGCATCCCATCCAACAGTTTCACTCCTCCTGCGCTTCCCATTGAGGACCGCCTCTGGTGACCTTTGGAGCTGTAGCAGGCGTAACGCTTTAGCACAAGCCAATACATGCACGACCAGGGCAGGGCAAAATGCTTTCCAAACGGCTCCGAGGGAACAGGCCAGCCCTAGGCTGCAGCCGTGCGGCCGCTCTCTCCAAGCTGCTGCAAGTGGCTAAGGAACGTCGCTTGCTCTTTGCGCTAGGCCAGCCCCATTATGTACGACAGAACCAAAGGTGTTGGTCCGGGCTTTGCTTAAGTGTGGCAAAGGCCACGTTTGCCTGCGGAATACTTAATTGCGCAGCTCTTCCCTGACTTTAGTCAGCCCTTCATCCCCACAACTGCTGTTGGTAAACAGAGCTGTGAAACATGCTACAGCTCCCAGGGCTGGGTCAGTCTGTCCCTTTTCCAAGCCCGCTCCCAAGATCTGTAACTCTGGGCTATACTGCCTGGCTTGGTGCTCAAAAAGAAGTTGTCACACAGGCAGCCTGACCATCCTGTTTGGCCTGGGAAACATGATTACCTGGGAAGCATGATCTGTGTGCCTTGTGTGATAAAAACACAAGGGAGGGCTGTGGAAGAAGGAGCCCTTGGTCGCCCCTTGGCTGCATCTGCACATCCCGGGAGCCACGAGGAGACCAAGGGCTCCTCAATACCTGGAGATCTTCTTCCCCCCACTTCCCCGTTGTCCCCATCGCCCCTTACTTCTCATCCACATGAAGGCTGGGCGAACACTTGATGGCGAGCCATGTCTTCCAGTGGAGGTGCCGCACCTTGTACACCTGCCCGAACCCCCCCGAGCCGATCTTCTCCCAGCTGCCGAACTCGCTCTCCTCGAAGGTTTTCAGCAGTCCCATGGCCCACGGGGAGACGACATTCTCCCTCGCCATGCTGCTGCTGCTCCTCGGCCGCCGACAGACCGACCGGCACCGCCGCCACCGCCGCCCGCCCAGGTGAGTCAGGTGTGCCGCGGGGGGGTGCAGGGCGGCGTCACTTCCTGGGCCGGACCCGCCCCCCCTCCGCCGCTGCCTGGAGCGGAGCAGGGAGCGGCTGTGGCGCTGCCCGGCCCCGCTGCCGGTGCTCGGGTGCTGCTGCCGTAGCGCCCTCCCTTGGCTCCCCGGGGCCTGGGCAGCGCTTCTGGCTTCCCCCGACACCTGTAAAGCGCGGTTCCTTGGTTCCTCTTCCCGCTCCGACACTGTGTGAGATCCCGGTCCCGTGTGGTAGTGGCGGCAGCCGCGAGGTCTGGCAGTGGGGTGCAGCAAAGCTCCTCGGGCAGGAGGGGAGCCCTGCGCACAGTTGTTGAGGTGTGACAATCAGCTGTTAAATAAAGGGGAGGGAGGCACCAGCAACTGCGTTCCTTCCTCCTCTTCTCTAGGAGCCTCAGTGGGTCTGCGCCCCTTCAGCAGAGGAGATGATGCCTCACGGTCGGGGGGCTGCAATGCTTGAGCCAGCCTGGTCTGCGTGGCAAAGGCTGGAGGCTGCTCAGGCGTGCTCCAAAGCAACAGTTTTTAGGGAAACCGTGCTGCCGAGAAGTGCTGCCTGTCTGGTTTTCAGTTGCCCCTGGGATTAGGAGCCTTGATGATCCCAGCGGCAGATTTCTTTGCCTGAATCCTTTTGTGGATCTAATTGCAGGTGCCACAGGTCTTGGAGCAATGGATAAAGGGTCTTACTCTGTGACTTGGGAAGCTGCCGTTGGAAGGAAGGAGTTTGCAACCTTTGGTGTGTAACCCAATGGTAAAGAGGCTATTGCAATCTGCAATGTGACCTTCACACCTATCACATGTCTAAAGGCTAATAAAGCTTGTGTTTGTTTATCATACTGAATATCAGAGACTCAAACTGATTGTTCTAGGCAGTTAGCCTATGATCATTTAATCTGGCAGGTTAGGCAATAGATAGAAGACAATGTGTTTTAAAGGTAGGATAATAGCACTAGTTAGTCTTGTCTTTGCAAAGCTCCATTTAAAAAGAATCTATGGAGACATTTAATTACTTTCAAAAGACATGGGACATCAAGTCTGTTCTCAGGGCTCTATTTGGCAGGGACTTGTTCCTGCTTAATTTACTCTGGATTAAACTGGTTTACTCTGAATGAGAACACCTCTGTATAAATAAATCGAGAATAAGAAACAACTGTGTCTAGAGACAAGCCCTTAGGTCACCTGTGTGACCCAACACTACACCTCTACCTGATCCTCCTTGTCCTGGTTATCATCACTGTCCTTGCTTTAATTTGGGATGTCCGCTGTAACTGGATCAGTCTGGGGAACCTGCCATGCTGTCGTGGAGGTCTGTGGAAGTTGAAGTGATTTGGAGAACTAGGGCCTCAGATGCTCTGCCTTCTGGAGGTGTGCACCACTTTGTTCCACACAGCACATCAGGTGGTTTGTTCCGTTGTCATTCAAGCTCCTGCTTCATTAGGATGCTGGTGAAAGTTGTAAACCCGAGTGGGACAAAACCCAGCTTGTGCTTAGTTGGCAGTAGAGTTTAAGCAAAATAGTAAATAGTATACCTTCTTCCTGCACTGTGATTTGAGAATTAGTTCAACAAACAGCAGCAACAAAGGAGTGAGAGCTCATGGCAGAACATGGAAAGAGCTCATCTAAGAGGGTTTTAATTACTTAAGTGCTTTCAAAAAGGGCTAGGCTTAAATAAAATTCATGTTTAAGGTGCCTAGAGAACCGGCTACCGAGGCTCTGAGCTTTTAGTTGGTAAAGCGTAGGAAGGCTGGATGAGGGCACCAGAAGAGTTTGTCTTCAAGAGGCAGGAGAAGAAGGTGGCAAGGAAATCCTGGAGCAGTCAGGTCACTGACTGGAAATAAATAAAATAGGCTAATAGCTACCCAGACTGACAAACAACAGTCAATACTAGATTTATTGAGACCAAGCCATGTGAAACCAATCTTTCTGTGACAAGGTGACCAGTCTTGTATAAAATCCTTCTCTCCCGTGTACATACATTTGCAGGACCATCACAAAGAAACTCTCTTCCTACTCTGTTTCATTGTCTTGCAGTCTTTCTCAGTCCTTTCAGAGACCAGGATTTAATCTAGTGCTTTAACCTTATCTTTTTAGATTGTAATGCTTCTAAGGTGTTGCCCACTGTGTATGAAGTCAACCAACATGAAACTTCAACAGGGAGCCTTAGCCCTGTTATGTTAGATCTAAAGTATTTTGCTTCTGTATTCTGTAAACAGATAGCAGGTGGCATCTGTGTAATAGCTTAAAACATAGTAGGAAAAAAAGCTATCATTTTCAACTTGCAACTTTCCAAAAAGATAACACAAAAATCCATCTTTTTGCCCACTGTGCAAACATTTAAGCTAAGTTTAGATTTTTATACACACACAAATGGTGCCACGCTGCAGTTGGCCTAAGCCAGCCTAAAATTACATTGTCTGTGAAGGAGGCTGCCCTCCCTTTTTGTGTCAGAACCTGTATTCACATGGTTGCACTTGCATTCACGTGGTTGAACAGTAACTGCACCAGCTCAATGATGTCACTTAAAAAAACCTCCCAGGTTAGTTTTCAGGCAGATCAGAAGGTTGGCCTGACTTACCAGGTACTTGTTAATGTCAACAGAAGGGGAGGTGAGTCTGCTGGAAGGAAACTACCCCTGAAGAAGGTGATGAAAGGGACATGGTTACACATCGTAGCAGATGCTGGAGTTCCTTGCTGCTCTCATTTAAAGCACACCCTCACAAACAACTGACAAGTGTGGCGCGGAGGTGGAAATGAGCAGTAGGAAGAGGATGGGAATTCTTAGACCAACTTTTCCCCTGAAAAAACTCAACAAAGTACAATGTAGGTAATCCTGAAGTCAATGACACGCTCCAGCTGGACGGCTCATAGTGCCCAGAGTCAAGCATGTGTATGAATTTTTGTTAGTTCAGAGCTTAAGTGAGTGGCAGCTCTGCCTGCTCAGCACCCTAGAAGTCAGTTCCTTTATAAATTGATTTGAGCATGCAAAAGTAAGCCATGAATTAAAAGGTAGGCTGCAGACCATGCTTGGGCCTTCATTGCATGTTTTTAGTGCTTGTGACTGTAATAGTTGAACAAATCAGAATATAAGTTAATGAAAATCTTGTGGCTTCCTTGTAAAGCTGAGAGCTTACCAGTGGAGGCAGAAAACTGAGGCAAATCATAGTTTGTTCGAGGTCACAAAAGCTCCTTGCTGTAGAGACAATAACAGAACATTCTCTTTTGGTAGGCTTTGCAGATTGATTTTAACATCTTTCTGCCTGGAATTATATGCCAAAACCCAGATCAGGGCAACCTCTCCTCTCCCAGACACTAAACTTTAAAGCCCATGCAAAACAATAGTGTTGCTTAATGAACCAGCTTTGAGAATTTTTTTCCAAGAGACAAATACTGTGCTTTTTCACAACTGCTTTCTTAGAAACCACTGAACTATTGTTGCTAACATTCTCTCTCTCTAAGGATCATAAAAAGCCCTGCATTCAGGAACTTAACTGAGAAGTATTAAGCAACCCAAATTTTACATATATCTCATTATCAGTTCTATTTATGATGGTAGAGAGCCTGTACAATGTGAAAAAAAAAGCTAATTAAAGGATTAATCACCTTCGTGTAAGCAGTGAATGACTAACATGGCTGTTACTGTGGTATGGGGGAAAAGAATGCCTAGGTTTAAAGTTTTGTTCTTAAGCCTCTGAGAACAAAAAAGGTATTCTGCATGCTTTCCTCAAGATCGGTCTTGCTGTGCTTCTTGGCACACGCTGTCATTTTTCAGGTACATTTTTTCCTGCTGTTAGCTGTGCTGCAGGGCACCATCTCCGAGGTCATTATCAAAGGGTTTCTTTGTCAGCCTGGCTCCTCCTGCCTCTACGAAGCTGAGGGCTAGCGCCGTCCCACCGAAATGCACACAGGTCCCGTGCCAGAGCTGCAGCCAAAGATCGTGCGGGTTTCACAGACTCAGTGGAGCTGCGCCAGTTTGCCTTATCTGACGATCTGGCTCCATGAGAACAAGCCTCTAATGACTCACGTCCACCTCATACCTGGTGTGCATGGGAAGTTGTTTTTCAGGCTGGGTCCCACAAATGCCAGCAAATCCTATCTTCTTTGTTGTAGAGCTGCTTCCTTCTTCTAGGAGGCGCTGAATAAAGTGTGTGTGCAAGGGAGACACTTGCTTAATGAGTACCCAGTGTCACACACTGTCATGGGACAAGGTGGCAGGGCAAGTCTGCAGGCACCCTTTACACGCTTCCACAGGATGGTGCTTGGCAGCATTCGCTGGGGAGAAAGCACCTTCGGTATCATGTTGAAAATTAAGCAGGGACAAAACCCCTATTTTCAAAAGCAAATAGATTTACGTACAGTTATTACAGTGCAAATAATGAGCATGGAAAATTCAGAATTTGGTATCAAAATCAGAAAAAAAAAAAAAAAAGCCCCTTTCACCAAAGTGCTTCCATTCAGATGGATATTTTATTTTACTTTGTACATGCAAACCACCATCTCGTAGTGCTAATACATTTCTTACATAAAATTCAAAAGAACTCTGAAAAACGACCTTTGAAGTCCATCGTCACAACCCACTATTGCCTAGTGAAGACACGAGTGTTAACAAAGCCTCCACATGCAAACTAATGTAAGAACGTAAATTATATACAAGATTACTGACAAGGTAACAGATGCATGGTTTTAGCTTTGCAAAGCCCCTGTGTGAATGCAAACACTGATTGATGCTAAAGTGGAATCTAAGCAACAGTAGGGTAAAAGTCTAGAGGGACATTAAGCAGCATAACTGAGGAAAATGATTTGAAAATATTATTTAAAAAAATAGGTCTGCATTAATAAATTACCATCCCACTGTCTCTGTCTCCACAGCTGATTTTGTTTTCCAATATGTATTTTACAGGCTCATAGGAAGTTGTGGCAATGTCAAACTTGCAGGTGGTACCATTGCCCTGCAAGCGTGGTTCCACAAGTTAAGCACAAATCTATAATGCCACATTTAAATGTGTTACATGAAGCCCCAAATGGCCTTTGTGCAAATAAACCCCAGTACCTGCAGTGCACCTTGCACGGAAGGCAGCAGCCTCCTGCTCAGGTAGGCATGGAGATGTACCCAAAGGAGTAAATTGTTGGATATTGGATCAGATAGTCCTGCTAGGCTATTGTAAAAGATCTGGAAAAAGACTCCTCTGTACTGCGGTTTAGTAATATTTTCCATTATAAAGGACTCTTTCTTTGGGAAGCATTAACACCTCTGTTGTTTGTTGCAGGCCTTTGATATTTAGCAGGGGAAGTCCCAGAGGCTATAGTGGTACCTATTCATCGCCCAGAGAAACGTGACTCAGTTGTACCCATAATGTAAAGTATTAAAAATGCTGGGTCTCTGAATCATGCACAAAGGCAGATTAAAATCAGGCTGCCACCCACATCTGTCTGGCCTGCCCCCACTGCACAGATGGCTCAACTGCCCTTCAAACATCAGCTGAATTGCCACAAATTAGCCAAGCATATTTAATAATACTAAAAGCTGAGCGCAAAAATCTCAGCTGCAGAAAGCAGGAACTTTCAAGGCAATAACAAGCTGGACAGCTGTGGAAGGAAGTTTTTTACAGCCACCAGTTTTACTGTACCTGTATTTGTGACAGGAGTCTTGAATTCGTTTTCTCTCTGGCCAAGATTGCCAAGTATTGCAGACGACCTGGTCCAAATTGTCAGGCTGAAGCAGCAGTGAGAATGGGTGCACAGTCATGACTTAGGGCTCCCTCCAGCAAGCCCCACTCCCATTCCTTATGCAGGTGTAGCAAACCGGCACAAACTCATCAGTGGGTTCACTTGCCCATGCTCTTTGTGACAGCAAATGTAGGAAGCAGATGCTACTATCACCATTCCACCTGCTCCTACAGGCCCTCGTGAGGGTCCTGGGCAGAATGCTGTGCTCTTCCAGCTATGGGGGTGAGTGGGAGCACATCCTTCCTTACCCCAGCTCCCCACTGGCCCAGCACAACCTCATGTTCTATGTGTGCAACAGCGGGCAGCAGCTGGGTGGTAAAGGCCCAGTTCAAGGGAGACAGTTTTCTACAGGAGATGCAGTGTAAATCCTCCCAAACAGAAGTGCCCCAGCATCCTTAGGGTTACATTGCAAGCTCACTTCAATTTCAGACAGCCTGCTTCTGTTCAAACTATCCCCAGTGTGCCTGATACTACATTCTGGTGCCCAGATACAATATAGCTCTGTCTATGAGCTGAAAGTTGCACTGTCAAAGTGGCACAGGAAACCCTTCTCAGAGAATGCCTCTGGGTCCTCAAGGGACGCTGGCTCGTGGTAGCTAGCACAGGGTAAGGTAGGTTTCAAGCTGACTGAATGCCACCTTCTCCTGCATACAAGTCTTAGATATTTTATTTGGAGGGCTTATTCAGTTCCTGTTTTAAAAGAAATGTTTCAAACACTGTCATTCATTTTTACTGTGATGAAAGATACCTGTCTTTTTGTCTATGCCCTTTACAGAAGACTCAAATAAATGCCTTTGCCATGAACTTTTCCTAACAGGTCAGGATAACCATGGCTATGTGGAATTATTTGTGAAAACACAGGTGGGTACATTTAGTTATACTGCCAATACCATTCATTTACTTTCTCATTGTTGTATTTCCAGCAGCCAATAAATATCTATACAATTTCCATTATACCAAATTGTACATAAATCCTATATAAATCCAGCTCTGTGAACATCTTTACCTATTTTATTTAGCCATACCTTATGTTTTTCATTTAAATGTAATAATTTAATTGTAGCTAAGAAGTCCTTTATGAGAATAAAGTCTGAAATTATTTCAAGAGTTATTAGTCACTAAGTAAAGCTAAGAAGCCTGCCAAAACTGAGTTTAAATATACATCTCATGAGCTGCTATCTGATTTCTAATAAATAATGTAGGAGGCTAATAGAAAACGAGGTGCTTTACCTACCAGTTCAAACTGTTTATCTCATGCATTGGTTCAACATTTTCCCCATGGGATATATATTTTTAATAAATAAATACACATGCACACATATATATGCTAGGTGAATATATAGAACTTAAAAGTTTCTTCTCCAAAAGGCTATAAATTAAAGTATTATACGTGCATAATATTGTATTTTGCATATATTCTTTAAGCACATTAGAATAAGTTAATGTGAAAGGTGATAAAACACAGTACTATATACAAGATCTGTCAAGGATAAAAGTGAAGACTTTAAAAACTGTTTTATTTAAGAGAATAAACCTCTTCAGAAGAGTATAGCTTTCACAGTAAGAATCCGTTGAAAGGCTGTTTTCTTTAGAAAGCTATCTGAATTCCCAAGCCCACCTCCATTTCTGCTGGTTTTTCCTTCACATTCATTGGTGTTGCTTCATCAACTTCATTGGAAGTACAACAGCTTTCAAATGGCTGTACAGCAGTTTGAAGTTCAGAATACACGGGCTCTGGCATAGAAGTCTCTGTTTCTACCCAAACATTTTCCCCAGTAGCTTGTGACCCTGGCTGAAGCTGCGTGAAAAGCACTTCTACTGTTGAAGTGTCTCGTTTGCATGAGTCTTCTCCTTCTCTTCCAAAACTATTTTGACTTGAGGAAGGCTTATTTGTTCCTGTCTTGTTATTGACTGCTTGACCTGAATCCATGATGTCATTATACACTGCTACATTCAAACTCATATGACCCTCATCATCTTCTTTATATCTAAGGGAATAAAATCGATAATACCAAAAATACAAGTACAAACACAGCATTTACAGCAGGAAGTAGGAATAATCTAATTTCTAATTTGACTGCCAAAAGTGAGAATGCCAGCAATCAATTAAAAGATGAATTAGATTCATATTTATTAGGTGGTACTTAAACAAAAGACACTCTATATGAAGGAACACCTGCAAGAGGGTTCCAGTAGGTAGTTTTTATCAAATACATGTCATGTAAAAGAAAATAAAAGGTACCTATTCATAATTGTATTTTATTTGCTGTATTTTCTTGTTCCAAAATGGGGATTATGGCTTGTTTATCCTACAGAAGCCGTTGAAATATTTATGTACTCTTTCGTGGATGTAACTTGCAGGGTCAAAAAGTTTTTTCAGCAGTCTAGGTTACAAGATTTTCCAGAGTGGTAAAAGCTATAAAAGCATAAAGACCTTTTTATTTCCTTGGTTTAACTATCTTTACACCAGTGCTAATGAAACCTAAGTAGTAAATTGTTTCATGCTCAGAATATTTAAAATGGAAGCAAACTTAAGATAACATTTAATTAAATATCTGCATCTCTTAAAGTATTTTAAAAACCCTGAACTTTATGATCTCAGCAAGAATCATCTGGGAACATACCTGAAACGAGAATGGCTGTGGAGTTTATGAGCTTTTCGAAGATGTAGAGTCAATGTATAACTCCAGGAGAAACATTTCTGACAGATGTGGCATTTGTATTTCAGAATGCCATTACTCTTCAAAAGAAAGACTGTTAGAGTCACTGAAGGCTTGCAGGTACATATGGCAAGAATTAATCCTTTGTTGAAAAGTGGAAAACCACACAAACTAGCTGAAAACTCTTCTGAAGTGAATTTCCTAAGACATTTAAAATCTGTGCTTTTTAATACATGTCTGTTTAAGGAACCCCAGTGAATACGGAAATCCTCAGGATACGCCATCAGTACTCCAGTAGCAGTGTGACACATATCTTTCACTAAAATATATGCATTTTATAACATAGTAGTGATCATAACTATCATAATTCAAAAAATGAAGCAGCAGGCAACAAGTGTGCATAAAATATAGCAAAACTATTTTAACATTGTGGCCACTCACCTGATTAAAAGTGATGTAAGCTTTACATACTTTACTGTTTCTCTGTTTTCAGGTAACTCTAAGTGTGGAGTACCAATGTGAGGAGAAAGGTGACACTGGACTTTAATCCCTGAAATACTTTGCTGCTGAGATTACGATTGTCATTTTATTTCATTTTTAAAAAGGGGTTGGGTGTCTGTGGAGGGTGTTCAAGACAAGTGTGCAACTGCATAATACTTGCAAGAGTCCTAGAAATGATTTGATGCAAAAACGAAACATTTCATTAATTCACAAGAAACTAAAGGAATGTAAATGTGGAATTTTGCCTTATTTATAGCAAGATATTATATCCTGCTATTTAATATACTCACCACATGCACTCTCTTGTAATGCCGTTTCAAAGTTTGTAAAGTCCGTGAAATAAAACCACATCCTTCAACATCACAGCTGTAGGCATCTGAATCATTGTGTGTTTCAACATGTTTATGCAGATCATACGCGTTCTTAAAACTTGAAAACAAGGTAAAACAAATAACAGATATAATAGTACAGAGGAGTAGTCTTGTGGTTAATGTTTAGGACTGGGAGGTAGTAATTCTTGGCTCTGACAATGACAAGTGAAAGCGGAATATGTGTAAATTGTTTCTCGACCTCAGTTTTTCCACCTGTGAAAAGGGGATAGTACAGACATCTCTTTGATGTGCTCTGAATTTCATTTTCCATTCCCTCTTTCTTCCCACACATCCACACCATGCCCAAATCTAGGCATTTTTTTCAACAACCATGTTGCAAGGCATCACTCCCTCTTTCTGTTCATGTAGAGAAAATTCTCGTCATTTTCAGTCAGTCACTTCGTACTCTGGTCTAGAAATTTGGATTATTTCCTGCTGTCCACCCACAGTGCACAGAACATAAAAGTACAAAAACACTTGTTCACTTTATCCCACTTCCAGCACGGAAAGGCCTGACCTCTCCCCTTCTCCGGTGAAGTTAAACATAATTTGCCAGAGCTTATATATATAACTTGGTCTTTCACATCACAATGTTGTGGGGCTTTTTATTTATCTCCTGTGTGGCATTATATGGCAAAAGCGAAAGAAAGCACCACAGAAAAATGAGAGCATAAGACAGGAGAAGATATTGTAAGCTCGTGGCAGAAAAATCACTCAAAGGAGAAGACTGCAACTGTCCCAGTAAACAGCCAGCAATCGTTTAGAATGGCAAACTCCACAGTTTATGGCAATACTGCCCCATGTTTCAACTTGTTGTGATGACCATTTTGGTGTACTTATTGTCTTGCCAAGAAAATTCATCTTTTAAAGTATCAGTTCTATGTGCACCAGAAGTTCATGAACTACATCTCAGCAGGTGAAAGCAGATGAACATCAGATGAATGTATTAGATTTCTTCATTGACCGGTTGATTATTTTAGCAGTTGAACACTTTTATTTGTTTACTAACTCTCTCGTAGAACACCAACTTGGTTCTACAGTTCTGCTCACATAGCGACAAGCCCCAGATTTTCTTACCTGCTGTCACAGAGATGACAATGGAAAGGACGTTCATTACAGTGTCGGAATCTGGTGTGTGCTTTCAGTGAGGAGACACTTGTGCATACCATGTCACAAAGGGCACATGTAACATGATTAACTAGAAAAGAAAGAAACAAAGATAATTTCAGTTTTGTATCCCAGCTTCACCAGGACATCGTCTGCTATGACACATGACAAAAAATATATTAAAATATCATATTAACAGTAAGATATTGTATTTCAGAATAAAATACACAGAAAAAATATTAAAATGGAAAGCAAAAGCAATAAGGAGGGTAATGAAGTAATGGTCAATCTTACAATGTTTCCAGTTACTTAAAAAAAATAGATGGTAATGGAAAAGGCATAGAAGATAATGTTTCATTCTCTAGGCTGTAACAAAAAGGATGATTATCGTTTTGCCCTTGGCACTTTGGGAGGATTTCTAAAAGGTGGATGTTGTCTGGAGGCCTTCTGACAGACAAGCACTGGCAAATCTAGTGTTTTAGGTATTACCATTCTCAAAAAGATGGCAGAAAGAATACATGTCTTTCCTCCGCCTCCCCATTTCACATTCAGGTATATCTGCTTAAGGCATAATAATGCAAGGTGCTTGCTAAGCTGCCAGACATTGAACTACAGTGGCTGAGACACAGGTTTGCTCTGACTCTGGAACATGGGAGGACCTCTGGCAGATTGGCAGGCAGGACTGCAACATCTTAAGTTGAACAAATGTTTGCTTGGCTGCATATGAATTAGCAACCTGCTGAACGCAGTAGGAAGAGTCTCAACAAAGATGTTTTGGATTTAGACAAAACCTGTTATATTTAAGACTCTAAACAACGCATTATCTTAGAACCACTGACTGCTTTACAGATGGCAAAAGAAAAACATGCAGTTGAAGTGCTCATGTCTTCTTAAAAACTAAGCAAATATAATGCACCATAACTGTTCTGGAATCACTCCTTGCATAGACACTTTTCCTCATAGTTTGTCTTAAACCAGGAAAAATGAGTATTTTTGCTCCTCCCTAAAATAAATAGCTTAATGTGGAAACTAGTCTGGAATAACTTAATCTACAAAACTGCCATGAGTGAAGTTCAGCACTTTCTTGAAAGTATCCAGTGGTTTACTTGGCTGTCTGGCATGTAAGAATGTCCATGTAGGTAGTGATTTCAGAATACCTACAGCATTTGCATTCACATCACAGTTTATTTCAGAAGCATTTCTTACAGGTATGCAAGCTCTTTAAAAGACTATTTCGATATTTATCTATCCCAGCAAGCTATTATGAAACATGCTGGGGTAAGAACCTGAAAATGTCGTGTCTGCACTGGCAGTCTGCACTAACACGCAGACATGTATGCTGCCAGAATTTATAAAGAGAGCTGAATCATGAACCAGAGAAATGCTGGCTCTAATATCTGAAGGGATTTAAGTTGTGCCTGAATAGTTGGACCCTGGAATGCCTTCCAGCTCCTTCAGACAAATTCACATTGTGGGTGGTTCAGTGTGGTTTACTGGGACATGACACAGATTCACATTATCCTTGTTCCTAAGTCCGGCCACCTTGCCATTTTCCCTGGCTATGCAAGCAGAACACAGTCTGAATTCTCAGGGGACAAGGACAGACAGGCACATTGTACAGCTCACAAAGGTTTAAGCACAGCCAGAGTGACCAGCAACAAACAGTTCGATTAGCCATGTGCTTTATTTACTATATAAAACCTATCCCAATATGTGTTATGCTTTAATTTAAAAAAAAATAAGAAAAAACTAAAACCAAACAACAGTATGTTGAAACAGCTGCTTTAGCTAACAAAACCAAAATAAATCTTAATTTGTATTTATTTACAATTTATGTCCAAAATCACTCTGAGACAAAGGAATAAAACTAATCTAGTAAACAAACCAAACATAATTATCTTCTAATATAAAATATAAAAATTAAGATATTTTAGTCAGATGCATGTCAACTATAAACCCATTCAAATACAAATATGTTCAGTCCTGGCAGGTTACAGTAAGCACCAAATCAAATGCATAGTTGTTAAGCATCAATGTGTTGACTTGCAGACAGTGAAAAATCATGTTTCCTTAAGAATGCAACTGGAAAGTAGAATCTACCCTGACTGAGCAAGTCTGCACAAAGCTGCTTGTATGTTTATACAACCTAAATGACTGGTACCCAGGTCTGGCTGCATGGTTCAAATAATTCCTTTTCCCAAAGCAAAGACCCACCCGGCTCTCAGCTTCTGCATTTCCTGTATGTCCAACAGCAACATCACATGTTTCCTTGTGCTTAAGATGCTGTAGGATTCTTTCCCAGCAAGTCATAGTTGTTGTAGTATAACCTGTGGGAATAATTTGGGGACCTCAGGGAGGCTGTGATTAGGTCAGTGAAGTACTACACTATTTGAGCGAGGCTGATTATGCACTGCAAGGTGAGCAGAGTTGCAGCCCAAGCTAAAATACAGCTTTGGCTTTAACCATGCCCCTAGTCATGAAAGCAAGTAAACAGAAGTGAAGAACATGCATCTTCATGGGAGCTATTGCAAAACAGAAAGCCCCTTACACTTTCTGATCAGAGGGCATGAAGAAGGGGATTTCCATGCTTCAGAGGGGCTGGCAATGAAATTCTTACTTCCCAGCATTAGTAACAGTTGCCCCAGTTTGGCATGTTAATTTTCTCAACCGATGTAATGATACTTACAGCTCTGTTCTGTACAAGGTGACTTTGCGAAAAGTACATTGTACGTTAAAAAGCTCTGACTTACCATGTCTCCTCATGTGATCGCGTAGCAGCCTTTCATCGGCAAAATGTTTCTGACAGTTCTGGCAAACAAACATTCGATCTGAATTTGAAGAGAAACTGTTTAGTGGCAATATAAATAATTTATCAAAGACTTATTAATTAATAACCTAAAGCTGGCAGTTTCATGAATAAACTAACAGAGCACTGAGACAGTTTCAGTTTTCTTTTTCATTACCAATGCTCTTCAGAGGAAAATTTAGTTTAGGCTTAATGAAAAGGATTGCTTATCAGTAAGTTAAATTTACCCCAAACAGAGTAACAATCTGTTCAAAACACTCACAGTTTGAAATTTGAGCTCTTCTGTCAGTTACCTAGAATGCACCTACTTTCCATCACCAAAACATCCACAATTCATAAATATATTCCAAATGCTTAAAACCAGAAAAAACAATCACCTCTCCCTTCCTCTTTAGGAAAGCATGCCAACTAATACATAACTGTTGAGGTAGGGAGTATTTGAGTGAAGAAAATACTGGAAAAGCAAAGCTGAAGAAAAAAAAAAAAAGCTTTTTGACCTGAAAGTATTCAAATGCCCATTTGGGATTACTTGCAGGGATTTTGTAATCTGAGTCTGGCTCTTGTGGAGGTTATCTCTTCAGTAATCAAAAGTCTTTCCCATTCACGGGCAGTTTTCCAGTGTCAGTGGAACGTCACACTGTGCCATGGGCACCAAGGGAAGAGAGGCAGTGCAATGCCACAGTTGCCAAGTGAATAGTTTTTCTGCAGAAACATGGATCCAAGGGTGTTCTGTTGTTCACTTACATTACCCTAATTCATCAGACATGAAAAGTCAAGAGAATTTCTACACTTTAGGAAAAACACTGCCTTCCTGGAGCAAACCCTTTCATTTAATTGACTTCTATGAAAAATAGAAATATTTATGAAATTACATGTGCATATTATCATGAAACACCTTAAATAAAAATAAGAGATTACTTACTACCTTCTGAAACTTGTCTCTTTGTGTGATCGAAAAACTTAGTGTTATTGGAGAACATTCCTCCACAAGTAGGACATGCTACCACTCTTTCCTGCGTGTGGGTTCTTAAATGATCCCAGAGCTTATGCTTTCCTTTAAATACACCTAAACAATCTAAATCAAACAGAAAAAAAGCTGTATATGACTACTGTACTCTTTCTTACGTAGAAACACAAAAGGCTATAATATACTTATGTTCTATTCTTATATTCTTAGAAATACACAAAAAAAGCTGCTTCTAGGAAAAACAAAATAATCAGGCTGGTACTATTACAAATGTCAGGTGATGTTTAATCCCACAAATACCATGCCAATGCCATTTATCAGAATTCTTCAAGATATGTTGACCAGGTGTGTCTTTAAAAAAGCTCAGTTTTATCGAACCAGCAGAGAGCATGCAGTTACACTTTCCACCCTCATGTGTCAAAGTCTTTGACTCCAAATGTATGCTCATACAGTAAAATATAGGTAACATTCATTACTATTTCTGTTGCCTGCCACCATCACTGAACTCCAGCAACCTTCATGGTCTCTGGAGAACCAGAAGAACAAGATGGGGTAGTGAATACATGTGTCTTCACATTTTCTGTCTTTACATACACATTCACATAGTGGTTAACTTCAAGCAATCAGCTATCCACCAAACTATCTCGAAATATAAACAGCTATGTCCTCAGATCTCTTGAGCTCAGGAACAGCCTGATCTTGTGGACACAATGCAGGTTCTAATAGCACCAGTAGGAAGCTCTGACTATTGACATGTGACAAATAAGGGAAAAATCCCTAGTAGGTTAATCTACTGGTGTAAATGCAGCTAAAGAACTAGTTTCAGGAGAAAACTTCAGACATATGTGAAGGAATAGCCTACTCTCACATAAGGAGAAGCAGCTCTTTCATCTACCTAAAAGACCTAACAGCTATATAGAAAGATACATTTTTAGGAATGCAAAATAGTGTGGACCCAATCAAAGATTCTTAAGAATCAAGAGGACTAAAACTGAACTCAAGAACAAGAGATATGGAAAGATAAAATACTCTTTTGTAGATGATGCATGGTAAGAGTAATCAAGTGAATCAAATTTGACAGGTTAGATACCTTTAGGTCTCAGAAACTAACAAGTAAAATTCATCTAACAAAAATGATTTGACTAATTCATTTAACCAGGTTCCATTTCTACTATTCATCAGGACATTCTTTCAAGTAGAACAAGAATGTAATAGCCTTGATAACAAGCCATATCCACCTCCAACTGGTGGAATAACCAGCAACTTCCTGAGCTCCAGATCAATACACATAGTAAAGGGACAAAAGTCTAGACTCCTTATAAAAGACAAAGGCAATCCTAAAACCTCACCTTGTCTACAATGAGGAAGAAGTATTATCAGTGTCTCTTTCACCTCTACTCTGAACATGATACTTCTGATCAGGAGAGGCAATAGAAAAATGGCCAGTTCCCATGTCTAGATCAGAAGCTGAAGGACTGATTATTTTTCTAGAGCAACATGAAGACTTCTGTCTGTTTAACCACAGATTCAAAATCTAATATACAAGATATCAGATTGAGTATCTCTCACACATCCTTCCTTTGTGAACTCTGCCAGGGCCCTGAGTATGCCAACAGCAGCCTGTAGTCAACCTTTGTAATCCTCCTCTACAGCCAATTCCACCCCACACTTCTAAGAGTTTAGCTGCCTGTGTTTGAGGTCTGCACTAATACAGTGTGGCTGTTCAAGCTTCAGTCACAGTTCTGTGAAAACAGCTAAGCTGGAATAAAGAGCAGTGAGAAACTTCACCTGAGGTCTCCACTTACACACCCTGTTGTACCTCACTTGGTCCTGCCTTGGACTTGCTGTCTGGGCTTCCTGGCTTGACCTCATACCTGTCTTGGCACAGTGGACTTGGGTCGTGGTGCCTGGGCTGTGGCTGACCTGGGCTAGCACCGCCAGACCTGCTCTGTTCTTGTTCAGGTTCTGTGAGACTGCACCCTGCCAGTGACTTCCCTGCTTGCCCAGCTGTCACCCTTAAACCCCACTTTGTCTTCGCTTGCAGAACAGTCCCTTGCTGTGTCCTCACAAATTCAAACCAACTCAGACCACCAACTAGTACACTGAGGGTACTGGGGGACCACTTTCCATCTGTTGCTTCAGTTTCACAAAAACTTCTTCCTCATTGAGATAAGCCCTTACTGGCCTGTCCTTGCTTTTGGGGCTGTGAATGAAAAGTTGTCTTTCATTGACTAGACATCATGACTACTGCTGAAGTATTTTAAACTAGTCTTTTAAAATGGCTTATCTAACTTAAAACTTGCACCTCTTGTTAAAACTGACACTCATTGCTTCTCATCCTTGCTAGAATAGACATGGAAACCAGTTGATTTCACTGTTCCTAATAGCAGGGCATTCCTTAATCATATCTGAAGACACACTATATTCCTTTTCTGCTGCATTTCCCTTCTCCCTATTCTGTTATTTAGGCTGTACAGGCAGAGAAGATCCTTTACCTGTTCTAATAGGCTATATTATCCAAAGCTGTAATGACACTGATGTGGGATTTTTGTTCCTCTAAAGCCTACAGATTCTACACTATCAGGTCACTGGAGTGAGTTCCCAGCCAGAAAATAGTGCATCTGTCAGCTAATCTCAAGACGGAAAAGGAACAAAATTATGTCATCTTGCATCCACTGATGGGATTTTGGCATCATTGCAGTGAACAGCTAACCCTAAAAGTAACTTTAATTCATCCCCACCTATCTGGGGGTTCACCAAGAGGATTCCAATCAAACCTGGACTTTGTTGACACATTTTACAAGACACAGCCAAATTGTTTGGTTTAAAGCAAGCACGGAATGTTCTGTTGCAAGACTAGAGTCCCACAAATTGTCTCACTATTCTTCAGCAGAAAGTCAGTTCTTCTGGATAGGTTCTGCTCATATGCTTAGTAGGTCTGAAGATGAATGGCATGCACATCAAATAGGAGTCCATAGTTTACATCTTACTCAAACAATCAAGGCATCTGCTATGAAAGACTGTCAATGGAATGTGGCTTCTACAGTAGAGCCAAGGGCAGAACACCACCTTTGAAGCCATGACAATGATTTTAACACAAGAAGTAGTCAGCAATATAGCGAATGCATTAAAAATGCTCTTTCTTACCACAGAGTTTAAAAAGAAAAAGCAGTAGGTGTGCTTCCCTTGATTTGAAAGTAACAGAGAAGGTAAAGAGCAAGCTCACTATGAAGTGTTGTGAGGGAGACAACACTGATCCCAAGTGGTAGAATAGAAAAGTCAGTTTGAGTGGTATATGAACTGTCAGCCACATGTAGAATTATGAGCAAACCCAACCCTGTTTGGTACTGGCAACTGAGGGTGTTCAACCCCATGGACGATAAGGACTATTCTACTTAAATCATGGTGCCTACAAATGAAAATGTTTCTACAACTGTTTAATATGTGTGAAAAAATATCTGAAGATGTCTTACAGGTTCTTATGCAACACGTAGTACTAAGTGAACTTTGTAACAAACACTGAAGTAAAAATGGACTTCTTTTTTTTAATATGAACTACCTTTCCAGTGACAATAAACAGCTTTCTTCTGATCTGCAATAATTTCTTCCTCAGTAGCATAGGCATGATTAGCAACATGCTGATAAAACCACACTGGGTTATTGAAGGTAACCTATAAACAAAATAGAAGCATGGAGAAGACAAGATTGTTTTGGCAGGAAACCAACTGACAGGAACATAGAATTAAGTGTTTTTAGAAGCCAAAGAGACACCAGTAAATATTGCAGTAATATCTAATTAACTCATCCCAACACAGAGACAATTACTACAACTACAAAAATGTAGAACATTCTGCAGTATCCACCACAAAAACCAGGTCCTGAATTTTCACCTACCATCTATTAGTTGAAAAGTCTGTCTAATTGGGTGAAGGCTGTCCATTCTTTGGGGCAGGGATGTGTCTTTCAAGGATGATTTATTTCTTGGGTTAATTTTACCTTGTCCCCTCCCTTCACTTCTACCTGCTCCTACTCACGAGGAGGCTATGAAGGCAGCACAGGTAATTCCAACAGAAGTGGGAAGGCTGCACAGTGATTAAACGGAATTAGGTGTTGTGGACACAGCACTCCATGAGTCAGTACTTACGTGACAAGTGGGACTAAACCCTAATTACCCTCTGTCTCACACCATAAAAATCCACACCTGCAGAGTGAAAGTAGACTGCACATTGCATTTTCCTCAAGTAACAGAGGGTGTCATTCAGCTGCATACTGTCATCAGTCACAATTCAAAGTATACCTCTCTGTTCCAAATAATTTAAACCCTCAACCTCTCTGCTGCACTGGCAAAATTTGGTAAGGCTACACACTGAACTGGGACAAGGAACTGATCTGGCTTTCAAAAGCAAAACTCTGGGAAGAAGAAATGGGAAACAGGTGAGACTCCTTAGGCTGATATTGCCACTGCTGATGATGTACAGCTGATTCAAATTTAAACAGCTCTGGGGTTTTTTTACTTTTAGGAAAAATATAAAAATGAAATAAAATTTATTACATGGTTTTAACCATTCTAGTTTTAGTAGAGTGGGTTAAATGAAGCTGCTAGGCATTCTGTGTGCAGAACAGAGCATTCACACAAGGAGTTAATGCAGGCAAACTGCTGCATTTTAAATTCATACTCCACTGTATTTCACAATAGCACCCTCAGGGAGACAAGCCCTTATTTCCTCTGAAGAGCTTGAAACATGATCTGAGAAATACAAGGTCTTGTGTATATGAAAGCATATAGGCATATTAAGGTGAAACAACTAAAAATACTGAGCTAGACCGTGATCGAAAACCTTTTTACTTCTTAATCAGAATAACCATATGGGGGTTAAACCCATTTTAATTTGTTGGCACCATCTCTTTAAGTCTTTCACTAGAACTTTCTTGGATATTTATATGTAAGTAGGAGAGAAGTTTTCGGGCAGTTGGCCGAGTCAGAAACTTTACTTTTGGGGAAACTGAATCTGACACAGTAGGAGGTACCACAAGTGTTGGGGGAAGTTGTATGGGTGATTTTCAAAGAGAATTATATTCATAACTGTGGGAGCATATTTGCAGGAGGGTGGGAAAGGTAAGTAGTCTTCCCCGGCCTCAAAGTTCTCCTCTTTCGCAGTGTGCCCTACTCCACCTCCCAAGTCTAGTCTAGTCTGCCTACTAAATTGAGAAACATTCTTTTCATTAATAAAATTCACAACATAGTTTGAACTTGAATAAACACGTATAAAAAGATTTAGCAAAATGCTGTGGACTAAAAAGTTCCATCAGCCAAAACTGCTCACTTATACAAATGAAAAATGGAACATGAAATCAATGAATGGGAAGATTTTGCTTCTGGTTTTTAAGCCTCTTTTTCTTTTTTCCCAGCATGCTTTGCAAAAGACTGTGCTTACTGACAGATGCAGGAAAATCTAATTCTGAGGGCCTTGAGGATTTTTCTGGACATCTTCATTTTTAAAATAAATAGACCAATCATGGCAGTGTGCTAGTAAGACTGATGGGTGTGTATTTAAAAGAGTCAATAAGAAAAGTAAGTGTTTTAAGAAATAGGATTCTTGTAAGCTATGAAACATAATGGCAATAAGATTTGCTTGTGACAATAGTTTGCAACCAAACTATGTAAACAAAATAAGTTACCATGAATAATGCTCTGAATTATGTCTAAGCTTATAGCTTTAAAAAGAAGAGAATGGGGTACTTCCATGCATAATCTAGTAAGTAAAATACTTTTTTTCACAGATTGACTTAACAACAGAATTACCTCTCTCTATAAATGTCACTCAGATTTTTATGTCAATCCTTATTTCTTGTAAATAAAAATTATTGGAAAAAAAAAGGTATCAAAGTATTATGTGAGTGTAGATATTCTAAATTCAGAGCTAAAAGAGACAAATGCATATTTTTAAACATTCTATCCAGTAATAACAGACAGATGAGGAGGCATTCACCTTTTATATGTATGCTATGGCATAGCATATATAAACTGTAAGCTGAAAATTTAAGATGAAAGTGGAAATAACTTTGGACATAGTAAGGTTATCAAAGAAAAGCATGGACTACAAACGCCATCAAAAAATAAAAGTACATTCACTCCATCACCGCAGTACATTTACTCATTCAAAAACATGACACACATGAGGGATATAGTATCTATGTACAGCACCACCAAGCTGACATTCCTGTGCATGGAAATAATTTCATCCTCATTAGTGTTTGTTTATAACCTCAAAACCCATAGTTTATGTCATTAATTTTATCACAAATTTGATAGCAAAAAGTCACAGATAACAGAGAAATTTGATTAAAGGTTGGTAACCCATGAATCATTTAAAGGCGTAGAGAGACATCAGGGAAAAAGAATTAAAGGCCTTTGAAAACCATAAATATTTTGTTTTGATTTGTAGTTCAGCACTACTAAACCTGCATCAGATCTGCCCATATGAGGTTTGCAAAATTCAACTTTACAGTGTTTCTGATTTCCACAATACAACTCATTTCAGTTATTTCTTCTTCACCAATATTTCACATTTTCAGTTATATCACTTTACCCAAATGAAAGAAAAAAAAACATACAATATGAAAAAATATGACATAGACCAGATAGACAATTTTCCTGCATTACTTCTTTCTCTGAAAACTATCTTGCTCAACAGTTACGCAAAAGGAGATAATAAGAAGATGTCATCTCTAAGACATCATGCTTGTGGATATCTTTGCATGCCTTTGCAGGTAATGCTCCCTGTTTCTGAGGCCAAGTGACAGAGAAAGTGATTCCCTTTAATGCTGGTACAAATACAAAGGCACTTTTGATCAGGAATGGACACATCCAAGAAGCAGAAAAAAAAATTAATTATCCTGGCAGCACTACCTATGTTAACAGTGTCAAAAAAAAAAAAAAAAAAAAAAAGCAACTGGTAATCACTTAAATTTACTTGGTTATTAACACAGAAATTGCACAGTCACAACAGAATGGATAACGATTTTATTTCCGGACACCAAAAAGCGGACAAGACACAAACCACTTTTAGTTGAAACCAATCTTGGTCACATTAGAACATCAGGCTTATATGAACAGCCTGTTGCAAATGTCTAATTTCTGCTACAATAAAAGAAAGGAAACAAACAAAAACCCAAGACATTTCCAGCTGACCAAGGAAACGTCACATATACTGTTGCCTTTCTTAAGGCAAACAACACTCTGGGCTTCTCTGCAAACTACCAAGTTCGTTAATTTTTTATTTAACTTGATATATTAAAGTTTTGCATGCATGCTCTTAAAACACAAGAGAAGTTGCATCTTTGTCAAAAAGATCATTTTAGTCATCACAGAAAGAAAATTTGAATTAGAGGTCACAGGTATCACACAAACGTGTTGTTTACATTTTGGGAATCCTATGATAATAATTATGTATTACTTACAAAGACAGTAGCAAACATTGTTCAGAGGGGAGATTGAGCAAGAATTCCCAATAGTAAGTCAAATCCAAAGATTGCTAAGGTAAAGTTTGAAAAGGAAGAGAAATGGCAATATTTCAATGTATTTCACTTACGTCACAATTCTCCCAGTGGCAAACAAACTCCTCTGAAGTCTTTGGTAACTGATGCCAGCTACAGCTGCTCTTCAAACACATGGGCAAATCCTGGTGCAGTGCCCATAACTGACAGCCTATGAACTTCAGTTTGGTGTAGTAACTGTGAAAATTGACATGTGTTACCAGCTCTCTGGGATCTTTAGCCTCAAATTCACAACTTCTCCACCAACACCAGTACTGCTCTAAACACAAGAAAGAAATAAGACCTTACAGAACGCTCCATGAAATCTGCAACCGTGCGCCACAATGGTGAGAATCCCAAGAGTACTTACATTTGTAGTAACTTCACTATCTGTTAAGTAACCTTAGCAGAGAAGCTGGTAATTGCTATCTAGTGAGAATGCACTAGATAGGACTTGTAAATTTCAGTAGCAAATAGATTTTCCAGTGTCTCACAACTGCAGCAATACTGGAGTGCTTTGTGTCTTAACCACAACTTTTTGCAGAAAGGCACTTTATGGATTCAGTAGGAAAAAACTGTAAAAAATCAGTATTTTCTTAGGTATATACTATAACACTCTGCAGCTTAGGTCACAGAGACATTGTTAATGTTGGTCCAATTCTGCTTTTTTCACCTTTAATTAAAACTCATTCACCTTTAATTAAAATGTCTACACCTGTAATTACACTTGATTACAGTGTTAAGAATAAAGAGCAGGATACACAAGAGCCAAAATAGCTATATTAAAAAGTCTAGTATATTATTGCTATTACATCCACAGACACTACCTATAATTTTCTGCAGAATTGGATTGCTTTTCTTTTAAGTACATTTAATACTATTAAAAAGATGTGAAATACACCACCACCAGTGTATGTATCTTACCGTAAAAACAGTAAAAGTTTCCTTTTACATTTTTCTATAAAGATTCATACAAGGGCAACTTTACACTTAGAAGCCTTAAGCAGCAGCAGGCCTGTTCCCTGAAAGGGAATAACTCTGGCATTCAAAAATAATTTGGTAATATCTGCTTTAGACCCCTGCTGAGGCCCTAATCTTAGGGAAAAAAGAAAAAGTCCTCAGCAGACATTCTCATGACATCATGTCTCCAGTCCCTTTCCATGTTAGTAATATCTATCAATACAGACAAAACCCCAGGACAATCAGAGATGAAGCAAAAAGCAGGAGTTGGCCCTTGTCTAAGGGCTCCATGGAGCTGTGCCTCAGAAAAGCCAAGGTGCAGGTAAACTGAAGTCAACATTATTTTCTAGGCTAGGAATAATCTTCCAAGCTGCAGTGTAACCTGAGTGACAAATGAGACATAAATGACCTGCTGTTTCCAGGGGGTGCTGTAGGTACTCATCCAAGTGTTCTGCAATATGATTACAAAATTCCTCCATGCATTTCCCTACAAAGCAGCATTCCTTCCATTCACAGGGTAATATCAATTCAACGTTCTTAAACTTGCTTCCAGGGGCCATTGCCTAAAATTTGTAGAAGTACAGAGGCATTTTAGTTACCATATTACATTTTTGTAAGTTCTTCATGTGAAAATAGCAGATAAGATTACAGGCTCCTAGATTACATGAACATTTTTTTGTGGGCTTTAGGGTTTTTTGTTTGTTTTTTGTTTGTTTTGGTTTTTTTTTCTTTAATTATTGCATATGTTATTTTGCGAATCTAAAAGCATATTTTGCAAACAATTATACCTTGCCAGAAGCCACAAGTTCTAACATTTTCATTACAACCATACAGTAAGAGTCCTATGATCACCACCCCAAACATCTGCTGAGGCTGCCTTTATTGTAACTTAATTCCACAGCAGTACTGTAAAACCTCTTTCCACAGAGAAAGCCAAAGCAATCATTACCAACAGTGCAATTCCACAGTCATTTTAGCCTGACATCAGTGTGGGCTCCCACTGAAAAGGGCTGATTCTATCCACCACATACATTCACCAGCTCTGGAACTCGCACAGCCAACCACTAAACTCATGAGAAAATGGATCCAACTGAAAGCCAATTCTTTTTGGGGAACGACAGAGAGAGAACTAAATCAGTTTTCTGCTCAACTGGATGCATGTTTGTGTCAGAGTAAAGCAATATAAGCCAAGGAGACATAGTTCCACTGTTTTTTTCATGGCTCTGAACAGATACAACAATAGCAAACTTAAAAACTACTGGCCTGTTCTCAGTGGTTTTCCACCTCCCTACTCTTCCCTGTGTTACTAGCTTCAAAGATCTGCCACTTCAGCTGCTCAGAGGAACACTCCCTAACCTGCATTATTACCAGCAATCTGGATTAGTTTTAAGAGGTTAAATAGCCTCCAAGCAGATCAGCTGATGAATCTCAGTCAGCAGCAAATTTTAGAAGGAGGATAGTAACAAGCAGCTGGGAGGAGGTTCTTCATTTTCTCATCAACACATACAGATCTGGAAGACAAACTCTGCCCAATAGCTTAAAGCATCAGTACAAAAGCCTGTGTCTTTCCTGATGCTCTTACTGATTCTATTGATTCAAACAAGTCAAGCACTGACATAATACTGGGTAAAATAAAACCCAACAGGGTGCACATGGGAAAACATGCAGGAATCAGTATGCCAACTCAGTGGCGTTAAGCAGGCACTGTCAACAAAACCGGCAGAATCTTTGTATTTCCAGCTACTAAAAATACCAGTCTGGAAGCATTCCCTTTCCAGAAAGTTAATTACCAGAAAGCTTCTGAGAGACCTGACAGTTTTGTACTGCAAACCTTCTCACACTGCAACAATTTAACCTAAACTGCTACAACCAAGCCTTTTAATTGTCCGGTGCCCCATCTTGCTGACTTGAAGCCAGAAACGCCAGCATCCCTAAAGGCAGACAGAATGGTGAGCAGGCTACCATTTATGTTACACATTAAATAATCCATTGTCAAATACTTTCTTAAAGTTATTCCACCACACACAGTATTAATATTAATGGAACAAAATATTTCAAGTATAACTATCTAACTGGCCAATCACAGAATCGTTGGGGTTGTAAGGGACCTCTGGAGATCATCTGGTCCACCCCCTGCCAGGAGGGGGACTCCATGACCCCCCCCGGGCACCTGTTCCAGTGCTCTGCCACCCTCAACATAAAGCTCTTCCTCATGCTGAGATGAAACTTCTTGTGCTTTAGTTTATGGCCATAGCTGCTCATCCTGGGCACCACTGAAAAGAGTCTGGCAGCATCCTCCTGGCACCCACTTTTGCAACATTTACATGCATTATATCTCAGTCTGCTGGACTAAACAAGCCTAGCTTTTGCAACCTCTCCTCATAAAAGAGATGCTCCAGACCCCTCATCATGCTTGTGGCCTTAATGCCGGTATCCACAATATCCTAACAAGCTGAGTAGACCAGAAGCAAAAGCTACCAGGGAGGAAAACTCTGGGAGCGACCTTGAAACCCTCCCACCCGTAACGACACGGACCCGCAGCATCTCCCCCTTATCCCACTGCCTCTCCACCCCACCTCAGCCACCCATAGCACACACACACCCCCCGTACCTCTACACCCACCTCAGCTGCTCGCAGCCCTCTCTGCTACCTCTACATCCCCATCCCACCGCCCCTAGCTGTCTGCCCCAGTCGGAGGAGCTCTCCATACACCTGCCCAACACCAGTAACGAACCCCGAGGGACAGCTGCAGGGCGAGCCAGGTATGCGGGCGCACCTGCCCGGCTGAAGGTGTGTGTGTGCATGCGCAGAGCCGAGCTCAGCGCGGGGAGCGCGGAGGGAACGGGCGCGCTGGGGTTGCGGTTGTCCTCCTCAGGGTGAAAGGCAGAGCGGTAGCCTTGCCTAGGCTGCGGTTTCCACAACGCGCCCCTTGGCCGGGTGCAGAGAGTGGCAAAGCCCGTGGTTTCACCCGAGCTCCGCGACACTGTGTGTGTGTGCGTGCATGCGGGCATTAACGCCCGTGGCAAGTATTAGCCCCGCAGGGTGACTGGGGGTGGCAGAGCACTGGGACACGTTTCTTACGGGAATCGTGGAGTCTCCCTCTCTGGAGACATTCAGGGCCGCCTGGACATGTTCCAGTGTCACTTGCTCTGGGTGGCCCGCCTTGGCAGGAGGTGGACCAGATGATCTCCAGAGGTCCCTTACAGCACTAGCGGTTCTGTGATTTCTGGTGGTGGAGCTGGGGCTGAACTGCCATGTCATGAGCAGCAGTGGGGGAGCTGCTGGTGGGAGGTGAATGTCCAGAGGACAGAAGCAGGCAGCAAACCAGTTTAGGGTGGTTAAAACACATCTTCCTATGACTGCTGTTGTAGCTGCCACTCAACAGTGCCACTCACCACTGACCATTCTTTTTCTATTGACAATGTTGCTCCTTTTTACTAAACCATACAGTTTTCAATAACTTTCATGCCAAACACAGGTACCTTTAGACATAAGAGTGTATTCATTCGCTGGACACGCATGCCACTGAGAGCTGGAAGTCTTTGCAGCCAAGTGTAGGAGACCACACACACCAGTTACTGCTCCCAGACTCTGATAAGTGTCCTGTACAACTAGAATTTGTGATTCCTTGCGAGCATTAATTGATTACAGCAAGTTCTTGCTCAACTTGAATTACTCCTTAAACCACTCTTCATTTTGATAAAATGCTTACACGTAATTTCTAGACATTTTTTAAAGTAGGTAGACTCAGAAATCCTGACCATACTGTGAGAAAACTGTAAATTTAGGAGGAAATCTGTGTGCACTGTGTAATTAGAATGACAGCTATCCCCTTATTAACTAGAAATGCTTGCAGGGGTGACTGGATAACTTTAAAACAACACCAGTAAATAGAGCTCTCTTTTTCCAAGACCTTTCTGCCAGGAACAGCTCATATCTCTGTTCAACCCACTTCTTACTTAAATAACCACACAAGTATATCATGCCTGGAGGAAAACTTAGTGCATGTTGGGATTTGCATGTAGTTCATGGGAAAAAACGTAGTGGAAAAGGGAGGAGAGTGAATGTGAAGTAGGTGCATTTGCCTTTAGGACAAAGTTTCTCATTTTTCTCTTTGGTTATGCAATTTAAGCTCTTCTTGTTTGCATCTTTAAAAATGTGGCTTTGTCACTGATTCCACTGTCTCTTCAGCAAAAATCTTATGTGTGCGTCAGCACAGGCTTCATGGAGGGCAATAAAGCCACTGTTCTTTACTTTTTAAAACAGACACAGCACCCAAAAGAACCCACTCGTGCCCAAACTTCCCCAACCTCTGTACCCATATTTACTTTGAAAATCAATGTTGAATTCTGTACGATAACTAGGGCCTTTGCGCACAAGTGCCATCTGTAAATCAGTCAGATGAAGTTATTTACTCCTTTGAAAGGTCAGACTAGGGTGTTAACACAGGCATGGGTGTGGAGAGAATGGAAGAGCTCACATATGCAGTTAACTTATTATTTTTCTTACCTACCAGCCAGTATAATAGATTGAAAGCCATTCTTTTTTATCTCATGCTCCTTGGCAGTGCAAAGAGAGAGGCTTAGAACTTCCCAACCCCTTCCTTTAATGAGCTGATTTGATTTTTTGTTTTTCTGATGGTAAAACACCCCTCTTTATTCCAGTGTCATCCCCTTGATGATGCTCTTGTGCCCAACTTGCATCCAGATGTCCCATAAGTCTATTCTGTGCATGGGAAAGGACAGCCACCGTTGAGAAAAAGTCGCCCACAGCCTTGCTTTTGCTCTTACCCAAAGTGATGAATGTGGACCTACTTCATTCTTGTGTCATTTGAGCATCTTACTCTCTGGTTTTTGCATGTTGCTGCATATAACAGACTATGTGTGAATTCAAATGTAATTTACTCTGAATTTAATTTACAGCAAACTGAACACACACTAACACTTTCCCCTGTACAAGTAACAGAATATAGGTTCTGCTAGGAAAAAAAGAACAACCCAGCACCTGAATGCAGCAACCACTAATATTTAGTGAACAGTGTCGCATCCACCACAATTTACCACACAGCTGGCTACAGCAGGCAAAGTATGTGTTCTCCCCCACAGTTTTTAGCTATCCTTCCAATCTATTTCATTGCTTCTCAGCTCTTGGTTTACTCTTTCCCCCCAGTTTTGAATCTGTGTCTTGACATGAGAAGTACAAGTCTCAGATACACATTACTGTGAGCTCTGTGAAAACAGCCAGCTGTGTCAGTAAGAAGAGATCCTGCAACCAGCATGTGGCTTGAGGGGAAGACTGGCAGAGCTCAGCTGGTATCTGATCTCCTTAACAACACCCAGTGTATCAATCCCTATACAAGTCATTCTGGCAAATGAGCCAGAGCATGTGCCCATGTGTCCTCTCCTTCCTTGAGCTAGCATCAGGGCAGGAACCTCAGACTCCTGTAGGCAGAAGGGCAGAAATCTGCAGTAAATTAGTTTTGTTAGTTTCTCCTGTTTTCAACTCCTCATTCTGCCATTACCTTTTTTTTTTTTTTTTTTTTTTTTGTAGTCTTCTCAATTTCACTACACTTTGGGACACTGTAAAAACATTTAAAAATCAAAATCTATGAATGAACAGAAAAATAGAGGGAAGCACTCAACTGACACCAAAATCACATTAGAACATAAAAACTCAGCTTTAGAGGAAATAAATCCCCAAACTCAGTCTTTTTAATTGTTGCTTTGCAGCTACTGGACCTAATAACCAGCTTTTCAAAATGGTTAGCAACTAACCAAGCACTGTGAATGCTCAGAGCTGTTCACGGGTATGGCAGAAAGACAACAGCATTACACTTCAGGTGTTGATGAAATCCTGGTGCCAGGGGTGAGACTGAAGCCTCCTGAACCAGCCTCACCTTCCCTGCCACACTCCAAGCAGACCCTCTCTGCCTCTTTCAGCTCAGCTCTTGGGAATTTAAGCTTAGCATCAGTAAGGCGGACTCTAGAAAAGCAGTCCAGGGTGTCAGCCATCGTTAGCTGTACTGCAGGCGCTTGGCAAGAGACTCCTGCCTGAACTGCACTGGCACCTCAGCATCCAGGAGGGAAAGTAAATCCAGAACAGCTTTCTCACAGCATTTTAAGGCAAGAAACGTGTCTTCCAACCATGGTTACACCTGTGGCTTTATACAGTGTTCCAACATTTTTAATCGAGAAAATTTAACAGCTTCTTGCCATTTACAGTGCAAATATTGTAATATCATCTCAGGACTGGAGAGAATCATTCTAAGCCAAGTTGATGACAAACACAATAGAAACACATTTTTCCTTTATCCTGTTGCCAACATGGCACTTCGGGTTTGCTATAGGGCCAAAGCCCTCATGTGAAAACAAACCTCAGTAGCTGATCTCAAAGATGCAAGCCACTTGGCTCCACAGCCTGTCTCCAAAACTACTTCAAGCAGAGCTTTGCTCTGCATCATGGTGCAGGTCAGCAGAATCCTCCTCCGATGTTTCATTCCCCCTTTACACTAGATGAGGCCAAGGCATAACCACCATGAAAAAAATTGGCAAAAATACAAAAGGTTAGAGCTTTTCCAACAGGTATGCCTGTATCAATAATAAATCTCAGGACAAAAGTGAACTGGAGTGACATTATTATTAATTTAAATAGCACAAGGAAATCTCATAACTGAAGAATTATTCACACAGCAATACAAACAGAGCTATTTACCATATCCATTTTCATGAAGCACCTATAGTTTTCATATGATTGTCATTTGGATATATGGCAT